TCTCCCAGCTGCTTCACTCTGAACCCGGGACCCAAACACCATCCTCCAGAGGATGGCCCGAGAGGCCAAGGTCACCACGGACGTCCGTGGCGCTGAGGCTGAGTGGCCTGCTGCTCAGCCTCTGTGGCCCTGGGGGCTGCTTCTGCAACCCCTTCCTGTGTGTCCTTGGAACCAGCCTGCCCTTTGTTCCCAGCACTCCTCTGTTCGTCCTTTCATTGGGCCCTTGGCCTCAGACAGGCCTTCAAATGCCTTTGCTCCCGGGGCCCAGGCCTTGTTTTGTGTTTTCTTGCTCCCTACCCTTCCACCTCCTCCTCCGTCTTCAGCCGCCCGCACGCCCCACTCCACCCACCCAGCTCCAGACCTGGCCTCAGCCCAGGGACTGAGCGTCCACCTGATCAGTGGGCCCCCAAACCCCTCACGCATCCTGTCCAACCCGGAGCTCACCAGCCTCCTTCGCCAGATCCTTCCCTCTCCCATCCCCAGTGTGAGGGCGTGCAGTTGTCCCAGCAGGGACTCCAGGGCTGTTCTGGACTCTGCTTCTCAGTTCCCACACCCGGCGGTCCTGCAGGATCCTTCCAGTGCCCCTTACCCACCTGTCTCCCCCACCTTCCCGTGACCCACTTTGTTCTACCGGAAGGAACGTTTTAACACACACGTCAGGTGGGGTCACGTGTCATATGATGGACTTGATGGCTCAGAGTAAGAGCCAGATTCCTGCCAGGACATGGTGCAGCGTCCCTGCAGGCACGGACCCTCACCGCAGTGCCGGGGTCCTGCCTCGAACTGGGAGTTCCTCCGGACCCTCCGTGGGCTTGCTCACCCGCGTGCCTTTGCTCACGCTCCTCTGAGTGTTCCTTGACCCATCGCTGCCCACTCACCCTGGGGAGCTGCTTGCGCTTCGAGATGCAGCTGAGGTCTCACTGAGCATCTCTCACTGAACAGCTGGCCGCCACGGCCAGCGCCTTGTCTGTCTGTGTTTGCATCCCTGCTGTGTCACAGTGGCTCAAAGGTGTTTGTGGAAGTGAACTGAGTGTTACTTTTAAATGTAAGTTCTTATACTGTATCTTAATTTGGTTAGAATGTAAAGCCTACTGGCAAGTGTATTAGTTTTATATTGCTGCCATAATAAATTACCACAAACTTCGTGGCTTAAAGTCACACAGGTTTATTCTCTTAATAGTTCTGGAGATCAGAAATCTGGTCTTAGAGGCGAAAAATCATGGTGTCAGCAGGGCTGTCTTCCCTCTAGAGAAGCCTTCCCACTTTCCCAGTCTTCAGAGGCTGCCTGCCTGCCTTGGCTTGTAGCCCTTGTGCCTATTCTTTTATTGATAATTCCCTTTGTGAGGCAAATGCCGCCTCTTTCCCTTGGAAGCGTGTCAGGCCCACCCAGGTGATCCAGGCCCACCCAGGTAATGCCCAACTCAGCATCCTTCCCTCAGTCCCACCTGCAGAGTCCTCTTTGTAAGGTCATCTATTCACAGACTCTGGGGGTTGGGACAGGAATGTCTTGCGAGGGTCGTTATGTTATCTATAGCTGCAGCTGTTTTCAGAAATCAGGTGCTGAAAAGGCAAGATTTTACAACAACCAGTTAACAGGTATTAGGATTTCATTCTGAACAATGATGAGATTAGCTCAGCCATATATTTCACCCACAAGAAGAAAGTTGTCCGACTTGTCTGTGAACTGACCTGAAAGTGAGTTCTTACAAATCCTCATGCTTGGGGCTTTTTGCTCCTTTAGGGTGACTTGGGAAATGTTTCATGGCAGGTAAATAGAGACATGCAAATCTCCTGACCCCTCCACAGGGAAGAGACGAGGGAACTTGTTTTCTCTTGGGAGGTTAAATTACCAACAGATCTCCGCCTCCCTGATCTATTAGCCTGGTACCTAGGAGGGAACAGGAAAAGACAAAGCTGTTTAAAGAAAAAAAAAGAAGAATGCCCCAAACAGAGCCTGCGCTGCTAAGCCGCCCCTTTGGGAAAATTTGGATCAGATGGTCGCCTTAGGCCTTAATCACCTTCTCCTGAGCCAGAAGATGATGAAGATTAATAATAATAATTTTAAAAACTGCTCCTAAGGGCTTGCGTCTGAGCGAGCAGAGGGCCCCGCACTGAAGCATGATGGCAGGGATCATCTATTGCTCATCGATCAGGGCCGGCTTGGCCCTCCCTGAGGGCGGCCTTACTACACTTGTGGGCCAGCCGGCAGTCACAGAGCAGGGTGGATCTTGGATTCTTACATCATAGATTATGAGAGCTGGAAAGGAACCCTGGAGAATTCCATCTCTTTTGACTTCATGCCCGAGACCGTATACCTCAGTGGAGTCAGGAATGGGGCTAGAAGTTGGGGTGCCTGGGTTCTGACCCGTTGCCCTCTGGCTGTCCCTTACTCTCCCAGAGAGGACCGATGCTGGTGAGGTCTCTAGTAAAGGTGGGGTGTAATGAGCTGTAATGCTTTGTGGTCCAGAACGCAGACCCTGTCAGCATTCAGACACAGGCAAGGTGCTGGGGGCCAGAGGGCCAGGGGGCTTTTGAACGGGGCCATGCAGAGCAGATGGTGTAGTGAGCTGCAGAGCGTGCAGGATGGCGAGTGCACGCCTGGCCAGGCAAGGGCAGGTACTGTGCGTAGACATGGAGACCCAGCTTTCTGGGGCAGAGGGGAGAGCTGCTTAGTTGGCCTAAGGATGCTGGAAGAGTTGGTGTCTACACTTTGTGTCCACACTTTGGAACTCCAGAAACCCAGACAAAATTTTTTGGACTTTCCATGGGTGACCACAAGAACTTCAAAGGCTTAGCATCAGAAAAATGCTGACTGACCATGGGATTTTGAAGGGGAAGAGCAGTGTGTGGCAAGACACTGCGTGTTACCACTTCAGGAACTGTCCAGAAGAGAGAAGTAGCCAGAAGGAGGAGGCCTGAAATGACTTCCCTCGAGCCTGGGCCCCAACCAGAGTGATGCCTTCTCATCGTTTCTCAAGTCATGTGCTGTCTCGATGGGGGTTGGGACTAGGAAGGGCCCCGGGAGCACAGTGTGGAGCGAGGCTGTCGGCTCGCTGAGCGACTGCTCAGTCGTGTCCAGCGCTTTGCAACCCCATGGACTGCAGCACGCCAGGCCTCCCTGTCCATCGCCAACTCCCGGAGCTTACTCAAACTCGTGTCCATCAGGGTGGTGATGCCATCCAGCCATCTCATCCCCTGTCGTCCCCTTCTCCTCCTACCAGGAGGAGCATCTTTTCCAGTATCAGGGTCTTTTCCAGTGAGTCAGTGCTTTGCATCAGGTGGCCAAAGTATTGGGAGTTTCAGCAAGGCTGTGCTCACCCCCAGAGTCTGGGTCCAGCTTCTCACCCAAACCCAACCTCAGCCCACTGTCAGAGTACTGATTCATACCTCTGCCCACAGGCCAACTTTCTCAGTGGATAATAGGGTGCACGCTGCTTGCCCTGTGCTTGAGAGAGGGGGGCACTCAGTACCAATTACAGCCAGGCCCAGAGACTGGGTATTGAGGGTGAATAAGGCACACAGTCATCTTCACAGAGCTTCGAGGGGGTGTGTGGAAGACAGAACTCACTCGTGGTGAGAAGCAGACACTCATGGTACTCATGGTGAGTGTTGTCTGTGCAAGGAGCATGCCAGCCTTGGACAGGGAGCTCACCCAGCTTCATCCAGGTCTTCAGCGGTGGCCAGAGCCTGGGACCGTGTGAGCAAAGGCAGGGAGGCAAGACCTGCCTAGACATCCTGAGCGCTGGCAGGGCTGGCAAGGAAGGGGTGGACTCAAGACACTGTCAGCAGGAAAGCAGGCTGAATGTGGGGGCTAGGGATGGCGTGGTGGGGGTCAGGACGGCCCCTGGTTGTAGCATGGAGGATGCCAGCTGCGATGGAAGGTGCGGACATGGGAAGGTGGTGCGGAGCAGGTCTGTGGGCCGGTGTGCCCGCGGGAGGCCAGGAGCCGCCGCACGGTCGCCCGGGGCACAGCAAGGCGATAGGACAGGCTTTTCCAGCCAGGCCTTCACAGTGGCCAGTTGCCTTCAGCAGATAGAGTCCTGTTCCTTCCCAAAGAAGCCAAATCGTTATTGGGGAAAATCTGTCCTAGAACATCACCAGCTCTTGCATTGAGAAGTGATTAATAAATTCATCTGTGATTATGCCGACAAACGGGGATCCAGGGTTGGCAACACCCGCCAGGAAATCACTGTGGTCCATTACCAGATGGGGAAGTATGAGCGTTTATTTCTCATAAACCCTCTGATCTTTTAAACTGCTGTCCTCAGTAATAGCAGTGAGAAATTTAGTTGTGTGGCATGGTTTTTTTGAAGGACATACACTGTCCTTTCCATCAGTAAAGCAGATCCTGAAATCCAGTGCCAGCAGCAGGCTCACCGCAGAGTCTGAGCTGACAGTTTATGGGGTGATGCTGCCACCACCACCCCAAGCCCTGTAGTGAGAGGCGTGATTAGCAGAATCAAGCGTCTTTGACGGGACTCTGGTCTGTGGTGTCCTCCCGTGTCCCTGTGATTGCCTGTCAGCCTGCTGTGCAGCCGTGGGTCGGATCCAGTCTCTGGGCACATGTCTACACATCAGAGCCTGTTCTGCTTCTGCTGCATCATTGTCCGTGTCACAGTATCACGCATACAAATTCATGCTCCGCTCAAGCCTGTGTTCTGTTTTGTGATCAAAATATTGATAACCATGACATTTGTTGTTACTAGATAGAAGGTTCCCATAAAGTTCAGTTTTCATTATGTGCTGTTCATTAAGATTCCAGAAGCTCAACAGACAGAGTCTGGGGAACACTGTAGTTATTTTAGTCAGAAATGAATTCCTCACGTCCGTACAACTGTTCCGCTATTAGAGGTGGCTGCTGACACTTGTTTATTTTTTTTAACCACTGCATACTCTGTTGCCTCTGACACGCCGGCTCCTAGCTCAGTTAACATCCGTAACTAGAGTGTGTGTTGTAAAGGCTCCTCGTTCTGATGCACTGCTAAACTTTGTTTGCACAGAGATTTTGCTTATGTAGCGAGAGACAGAGATACCAGAATTTTGAAATGTCATGTGTTTCGATGTGATACACCTGCAAAAGCCATCGCCACCAGTCTCCACGAAATCTGCTCCAAGGTAAGCGGGTCGGGGCGCAGGAGGCCAGCCTCCTCGCTGCTGAGCAAGGAAGGGGTGTGGGGACGGGAGTCGGCACGCTCCGGGCAAGCTCTGGGAGCGGCACGCCGACCGCCGGGCCCACCAGAGCGTTCATCCTCTTTCCGAGGTCGGCTGTCGCTCTAAACGGCGCTTCTCCTACAGAGGGAGCAGGGCCTTGGGCCCTCCGCAGTCCGCTGGGTCTGATAAGTTGAAAAGTGGCCTCGTGGCAGCAGCCGGGGGTTGTCACTTGCTCTGTGTTTCACTGATGGCTGTGGGCCCGGAGGTCTACAAAAGACCAGGGTTGTTGTGGGTTGTTACATTAGCAATGGAAGAAGAAGGCATTCTGAACAATCAGGAGAATGCCAGTTCTTCTGAGGTACTGTCACTCACTATCCCCCCCAGAGAAAAGGACACAGTTCTCAAAGTGGGCGGCCCGGAGATGGGGGTCGGGGGCCCGGCAGTGGACTAAAGCTGGTTTAACTTGGAAAGGAAGCAGACACCCCACTGCCTGGAACAGCTGAGGACACAGGGTCCAGAACCCCAAGCCAAAGCTCCGTTTTCTCTTCATCAGATTATGGCCGAACGGAAGAATGCCAAGGCCCTGGCCTGCAGCTCCTTACAGGAAAGGGCCCACGGGAACCTCGACGTCCCCCTGCAAGGTAGGTCTGCGTGCACCGCCCTGGTGCTGGCGCGCCACGTCGGAGTCGCCAGGCGCAGGGTCTCAGACACATGTCCCTCAGAACCACGCGGGACCCACCAGACCCAGGCCGAGCCTGCACTCGGGGCCTCGGGTGTGGCTTAGAGCTGACTCTGTGTCACCAGGGTTAGGTACTAAACCAGGATGAGCTTTGCTGTTGGGCAAAATTGAAGAACATGACCTTCCGTGGCTTTGTAACTCACGTACAGCCTGAGGCAGGGACCAGCTAGTTTAAAAATATGTGGTTGATATTTTGGGGGGCTCTGTTTAGTCATTCTTCCTGTCTCTGATTGCACCCCTTTGTCATTAAATTTCCTCCGGGCCTCAGGCTCCCCTAATAAACCGAATACCCGAAGATGCTCCTTAGCACACTTCCAAGAGACCGTCACAGCTTAACCCATAGAATCCAGTTCCTTCTTTCAGTTGCTTGCCTACCTAGAAGTGAAAGGTGAATGGGGTTTCTTTAAGCTTTTTACTTTCTCTTGTATACACCCAGTTAACAGTGTTGTGATAGTTTCAGGTGCATAGCAGAGCGACCCAGCCGTACACACACACACGTGTCCATGAAAGGTGAAGGAGGTTACATTGACGGCCCCGGTGTCTGGCAGAAAAAGCGCTGTTCCTATAGAATGATTGCACATTCACCTCTAGAAACAAGATGTTATGTGTATGTTGGAACCATTGAGAAAGATGTGTTGTTTTCTTCCCTGTAGTAGATTTCCCAACACCAAAGACTGAGCTGGTCCAGAAGTTCCACGTGCAGTATTTGGGCATGCTACCAGTGGACAAACCGGTCGGTATGTGAAACCTTCGCGGCCTTCCCGCTGGGCGTGTTTAGCGTTCACCCCCCACTGAGGGCGGTGTCTGCTGTTTCACTCCTTTGCTTGTCTTGAGCCAGACCCTCGCCCTGTCGCCAGCACACAACAGTCCTGGCCCGAAGAGCGGCACAGGGCTTCCTGGTGGCTCCGCGGTGAAGAACCCGCCTGCCAGTGCGGGAGACACAGGTTTGATCCCCGGTCCAGGAAGATCCCACGTGCTACGGAGCAAAATAAAATGATAACAAAAGAACAGGACAGACTAAACTCCCCCGACTCATGCTCCCAGAATACAGGGACTTGAACAAAGAGGACCTGATTTCTCATTCACCCAACAGTTCAGAGGTGCAGAAGCCAGGGCTGTGGCAGGGCCCTGCTGTCCAAATCAGAGCATCTGTCTCGGGCCGGGGCACCTGCTTCAGTCCCTGTCAAATGCCGGGCGGGGATGGGAGGCCTCACGCTGTCCCGTCAAGGTGTATCCCAGAAGTGCACCCAGCATCAGCAATCAGCTGTATTTCATAGGTGGAATTCAGTTGCCTGGCCATACCACGCTGGAAGGAGACTGAGATGTCGCCTTTTTCTGGATAAAAAGGCTATGGAGAAATCAGAACCCTCATGTACTGCTGGGGTGGATGCAGAATGGCGTGGCTGCCCTAGAAATCAGTCTGGCAACTCCTCAGAAGTTAAATGTAGCATTATCATTTGACCCAGCGGTTCTACTTCTGGGCATATATCCAAGTGAAATGAAAACATCTGTCCACACAAAACACCTCATACAGGAGCGTTCACGGCAGCATCACTCATAATAGTCAAAAAGCAGAAACAGCCCAAATGTCCATCAGCTGAAGAATGAAGAAAAAACATTTTCATACAGTGGTGATTATTTGGCAATAAAAAGGAATGAAGTGTTAGACTTGCTGCAACATAGCTGAACCTAGAAGACATCATGCTAAATGAAAGCAGCCAGTTATAAAGGACTGTACCCTTTACAGTTCCACTTATGTGAACTGTGTCCAGAGTAGGCAAATCTCTAAAGATAGGACTAGAAGGCTGGAGGTGATGGAGGGTGACTCCTAGGGGGTTTCTTTTAGGGGGTGATGAAAATATTCTAAAACCATGGTGATGGTCGCACAATTCTGAATATACTAAACACCACTGAATTTTGCACTTTACATGAGTAAATTGTATGGTATGTGAATTACATCTCAAATGAAGTTGTTATTACCACCCACCAAAAACAGCTGTGGGAACACTCAGCCAGAAGGCCCCACTGAACAACACATACTCTTCATGTCCAGGGGCCATCTAAACTTGGCCTTACTTAAGTAACAAGGCACAATAAAACATGATCAGGGTAATCTGGTAGAGGCTGGCTTCTGTTGGACACACCTCTGCCCCCCAACCCTTTGCAAGGTTCCTTGCTTAGAAAAAAGGTAGCAGCATTTGAGTACTGTTTCTTCACTTGGAGCTGGGGAATCTTAGGAGTGACAGTCTGGTTAGACAGGACATCACACACTACATCTCTGGAAATTCTCCAATGACCGTTTTTTCTGTTGAAAACGCTGGCATTTCTTTTGAGCCGTGAAATGCTCAAATGAAACGTCTGGGGCTACCAAAAAAAAAAAGTCTGGACATAGCTGCTACTGGGTGATTTGGGTCCATATTTGAGAGTCAGGAATAGCTTTAGGGCCTTTTTCAATGATCCCTTCCGTCCACAGGAATGGATACCCTGAACAGTGCCATAGAAAGTCTTATGACCTCCTCTAGCAAGGAGGCATGGCCGTCAGTGAACATGAGCGTGGCCGACGCGACTGTGACCGTCATCAGTGAGAAGGTGAGAGGCGTGGCAGGTACAGTCGGCCTGTCTGGGATAGAGTGTGGGTTTCGCATACAATAAGCTTCCCTGAAACTCAGGCACGTGCCAACACTTGGCCTCTGGGGAGCTGTGCTTGCTTGTGATTCAGATAACAATGAAAAAAAAAAAACTGCCCTTTGTGTCTAGATCCATGCACACACCTCAGAGGACTCTGTTCTAGCTCTCCTCCTTCTTCCTTTGTCCAGGAGATGGGAATCAGCTGCTAGAGGTGACTGTATGATGTTAGCAGTAACTCGCTAATGGGGTTGGTTTTCTGACCACTCTCCAGGCTCCAGCGTTGACGGGGCTGTGTCCCCTGGGGGCTGGGGTGCAGTAGGTGCGTCTGTTGTGGAAAGGTCCTGTGGGAACAGGGGCCACTGGTCATCTGGAGAGAGGCCAGCATTAGCCTCAGACACACATTATCTCCACTTTGTGGTTGGGGAAACTGAGGCACAGAGGGGTTAGCAGCTGCCCCCAGGCACACAGCCAGAAGCAGCCGGTCCAGCATTAGCCTCAGACACACATTATCTCCACTTTGTGGTTGGGGAAACTGAGGCACAGAGGGGTTAGCAGCTGCCCCCAGGCACACAGCCAGAAGCAGCCGGTCCGCTGTCCATTCTGCCTCTGTGCAGCCCCTGCTGTGGAGAGATCGCACGTGCTGCCTGCTCTGGCTTCTGTCCACTAGCAGCCCACCTTCACACCCAGTGCAGTTTCCGCAGATGTCACTGAGCCTGCAGGCCTGCTCCGCTGGACTTTCTCCAGGTCTGCAACACAGGGTGCCTTCTCCTACCCCAGCGCCTTTGCGGACGCGGCTCCCCTTGGCCTGCCCAGATCTCAACAGGAGTGTCTTTCTTCCAAGAAAGCTTCCCACCTCTCAGACCAGCTTAGTTTGCCTGATAAGCGATCCCACAGCACCTGAGTGAATAGTTCATAAGTCCAGATGTTCATGAGCCAAAAGTCAACCTTCTGGATGTATTTACTAATTTTCACAAATTACAGATGACTGTTGCAGAGGACATAGGGTTCATTAGAATGAGTTCCGAACATTTCTTCACTCAGCATCATATGGATATCAGTTTGTGAAAAAGAAAAAAAGCATTTGTTAACTTTTTGTTTTACACAGTTTTAGACAGAAGTATGATTCAGTGGTTCTCTGGGGGCTCAGATGGTAAAGAATCTACCTTCAATGCAGGAGACCAGGGTTCAGGCCCTAGATCTGGAAGATCCCCTGGAGAAAGGATTGGCCACCCACTCCAGTATTCTTGCCTGGAGAATTCTCGGACAGAGGAGCCTGGTGGGCTACAGTCAGTGGGGTTGCAGAGAGTCAGACACAGCTGAGCAACTAACACTCAGCATTCAATGTGCTGTTGGGTTGGGAAGACCTGGGTGGAAAAAGATCCCATGAATCCTTTCCTTTTGATCCTCTGGGGTTTCCAGTGGGTTTGCCAGGGCAAGTGGATTCTATGTATGGGCAATACATAAAAAGTGTCCATGACACCGTTCCTGCCCACAGTGAAGTCACAGGCTTGGAGTGGGGTGGACAGAGGCCAGAACACTCGCACCTGCTTGTGTGTGGTTCAGAGCAGACTCAATGTCAGAATGAGGCACCCACAGCAGTAAGGCCTCTCCAGACACATTTAGAAACTTCCCTCTCTAGAAAAATACAAGTCCATTCTAAGTTCAGCCTGGCTGTATGTTTTTAAACACCATTTCCTCCACGCAGCCACTGTAAGCCAGTTCTGTGACTTACGGTCCGAACGTGTCTGTGACCGCGGCCGGGCTGCTGAACGGGGTCTCTTGCAGAACGAAGAGGACGTCCTGGTGGAGTGCCGGGTGCGATTCCTGTCCTTCATGGGCGTCGGGAAGGACGTGCACACGTTCGCCTTCATCATGGACACTGGGAACCAGCATTTTGAGTGCCACGTCTTCTGGTGTGAGCCCAACGCCGCTAACGTGTCGGAGGCGGTGCAGGCTGCCTGCATGGTGAGTCAGCCCGCTGGCGGGGTTCCACCCTCAGGCCCTTGATTTGTCTGATGTGCCATAAGTTAGGGCAGAATTTCTACTTAAAAGAAGCTAAGTCAAAGCTCTAAAGTAAGGCCTTGCTGTCTGACACCCCCGTTCCTGTGGACAGAATCGATCATGATGAGCAGTTTGCTGTCTTAAGAGGCCAGGACACCGGGAAGCAGCAGGACTGGCTGGAGCCCAGTTCTTCTTAGAGACTCCAGGAGCCCTGAAGACGATGCCCTTCAAAACCAAGGATCTGAGGATTCTCAATTCTTGATCCCTAGTTAATTTCAGTGTGTGATCAGGAGATGCTGGTCATGTGTGAATTGGTGCCATTTTTGGAACCAGATCAGTAATTTTTTTTTAATTCAGTGTATTGGATGGTCTTTATTTTAGATAGTTGGTCTAAGTGCATTGTTCTTGTTTACTTTATATCTATGAACTCTATTCTTACCACAGCCCTATTAGGTAGTTCTTTTTTATTTATAACAAAATAGAGGCTCAGAGGAAAGCACGCTCCTGGGGTGCTTGCTTATTGGTTTGGGATGGGGGCAAGGCCCCGGGACAGAGTTGTTAAGTGATGGAGCCTGTGTTTGCCCCCAAGTCTGGATGGAGGCTTGACCCAGAGCAAGAGGGGGCCCTGAAAATAGCTCGCTCCTTAAGTTTCAAGTGAAGGAGTAGCTGGAAGCATGCCGTCGGGGCACTTGGTCACTTGTTGGGGAAAGGGCCAGCCCCAGGGCAGCGTTGGTGAGCGACAGAGCCTGTGCTCACCGCCAGGTCTCCAGGCAATAAAGCCAGTGCTTCTGTACCACATGTGTGATTTCAAGCAGAAACACCGTGGTATCCATTCCACAAATGCCGTTTGAGCTCCTGTTACTCCAGCCACCGGGAAAGCTCTAGAAAGGAGGAGGGAGCCGTCCGAGCGGAGGCCTCCAACCCTGGGCCGCACCGCGCACCTGCAGCAGCAGGTGGGGTGGGTGGGACCGGGTGGAGGGAGGTGAGGGCCTGTGGTCTCACGCCACGGTGTTACCTTCAGCAGAGTTGAGCAGGAGAGTGGGCAGACCACGCTCCCAAAGAGAGAGAGAGAAGTGGGGAGGGCTCAGAGGGCGCGGCTGAGCGGGAGCCGCCGGGAGGCCGGGGAGGCGCGGGGAAAGACCGAAGCGGCTGATGGAGACTCGCCGCGGCGCCGAGGCCCCTGCGCGTCCCTCCGCTCAGCGCGCCGGCGGTGGGCCGGACTCCGGGAAGCGCAGGGAGGACCAGGATGCGACCCTTGAACTCGGGAGTCTGGGGCCGTGGGGAGGTGCCGCTTGTGGCGCAGAAAGCGCTCTGAGTGTAAGACTGCGCTGGGTGGAGGTGGCCTGGCGGAAGAAAGCGGCCCTGAAGCAGGGTCGCTCGTCAGGTCGGAGGTGAAGGGGCAGCCGGAAGTACGCCGCTGGGGCGCTCGCTCCTCTGTTGGGATGCGAGCGACCACGCGGTTCTGAGGTTGAGGGAAATGAGCCCGCAAAGCCGGATTGAAGCGGGTGTCCCGTTTGGTGTTGGGCCAAGGTCTCGGTGGCAGTTGAAGATCCTGGAGCTGGGCTTAGCCTGCCGAGTGGGTCGGAGGGACTTGGAGGCCCGCCAGAAGATGCCAGGAGTCCAGAACAGCCGGAGCCAGCTGGGGGCGGCGCAGGGCGCTCGCCGTTTCTTCACAGGCGGCACGTTGCTAGGCTAAGGGGCAAGGAAGGGCTGGGCGGGCGGCAGGGGCAGAGGCGGAGGCCTCTGAAAGGAGGGGCAGGGGGCACGGAGGTCTGTGCTGGGCACTGGTTATGGGCTCCGTCCCCACCACCGTCCTGTCACCCCCTCATGTACTGTGGGGCCAGGACTCCATCTCAAATCCAGGGTCCAGTGGAGGGGACACAGGGAGCTGAGATGGGATGAAGGGACTGTGTGGAGAAAATAGAAATAGAAGAATCCAGCCAAGCAAAAATGGATGGTAACTGTGTGTGTGTGAAATTATAAACAAATCGTAACAGATGATTTTAGTCATAAAATGAATGGCTTTTAGTCTTAATTATACATTTTAAATGCTGATGACAAATAATTAGCTTTATCACTGGTTGTAGTTCTGATTCCAAGACTCATTGTCTCTTCTCTAGAAATAATTTCTACTCATTTACTATTTTAATTGTAGGAGGTCCACCAGCTAAAGTGACTCAGCCAGTCTAGTGTAAGACATTAGGGATAAACCTTTTCTTACACTCTGGGTCCAGCATTTCTAACTTGGTGTCTTGCCTCTTGATTCAGATCTGCATGGTTCCCCATCTGAAATACCTATGTGTGAATGCATGCAATCTGAAGTGTCTCTGGCATTAACACATTCTGAATTTACTTAATTGTTAGGCATATTTTGCAGCTGAGTGGTAGAGGCCCAGCTGAAAATGTTTTGATGGAATTCAGGGTGAGAGGGAGAGGGGTCCTCTTAGTGAAACCCATCAGGCACAATTCTGACCCACCCTGGATGTAACATAACTGATGCTGGGAACTCCCCATCCAGTGTCCCGTGGGCCATACCTGCCGTTTATAAAACTGTGCTCTGGAGGTGTGTGCTTCTGGTTGCGATGCAAACCTAGAAACATACTTTACACACAGGAGACGTGATACACTGTTTTTCACGTGACTGGGTTGAAAGGAGCTAATTTTGTAGCCCGTGGGCTATGACAGAGCATTGTGACAAGAGTCTCGCTGTAGGAAAGTTCATGCTTCTCAGAGACATCAGCCTGTTTCACAATTGTTCTGAGGAACCTATTAATATTTCAGTAGATTTTTCAGAATCACCTTAAAGTGCTTGGATTTTAAAGCGCTGGGATTAAAGAGGAAAACTGATTCATTTTAACCTTCTAATCTAATTTTGAAGAACTAGTTATCTTTTCATTGATTCAAAAACAGGTGGATTGTGTCTTTATATTTCTGAAGGATAGACCTGTCCTTGGTACCAGTGCTAATGTATTTTTAAAAATTAATCTATTAAGATTAATGTATCCTGAAATCTTAATACAAATGTTTTTTTCAGTTAAAGCAGGAAACAGGAATGAGAACAAACATTTTTGAATGCCTTCTGTTTTGCTAGGCCTCTTTTAGGCATTCTGCAAGTATTTCTTAATTGTAATACTATCTTTTAAGGTCCCCATTCTTTACCCATTTAACAAATGAAGGAAAGGAGGCTCAGAGAGCTTTAGTAACGTGCCTGGGGCCGTACGGTTCACACGTGGTAGCACCAGATCCAAACCCTGCCCTTTCTACAACTCTGCCTCTCAATTAGCTGGGAGCACCCCGCTTCATTACTTGCCTAAGGAAACAGTTCACCCTCTCCCAATCCTTTTTCTTTTTCATCAGCTCATCCTTTGACTAGGAGCTGTATTAATCACAGCCTATCAATACAGAGAACATAAAGAGAATTTAAAACACTCTACATTAAGGACAAAACTAATAAACTCTTGGGTTCATGTTTAGGAGCTAGGGTGTGAACCTCTGGGAGTAAATATATTGATGAATTAAAATCACATTAAACAGGAAGGAATGATACATTATTAACAACCCTAAAACTTTTTTTGTTTTCAGTTACGATACCAGAAGTGCTTGGTAGCCAGGCCACCTTCACAGAAAGTTCGACCTCCTCCCCCGCCAGCAGACTCTGTGACTAGAAGAGTCACAACCAATGTAAAACGAGGGGTCTTATCCCTCATTGACACTTTGAAACAGAAACGCCCTGTCACAGAAACGCCACAGCTGCACATGTGAGAGGACTCTGTGCTATTTGCTGAAGGTTGAACACACTAAAGAGGAGCTGATCTCTGGCCTTCCATTCGGTTGCTGATGCTTTGTCTTCAGAGAATTTATCCTTAACCAAACAGTGTTAAACAGCATGTTCTCTCGTCTTGCCACCATCGTGTGATATGAAAAGAAGCATGACTAATTTTTTTTGCTGTTGGTAAGTTACATCATGAGCAGTGGAAGGTCCCTTTCTTATTGTAAATATCGTAAACCTTATGTAATTTCACACACACACACACGGGGAAGAACGTGGCCACATCCCTCCCAGTGAAGATGCTGAATCCTTGGAGTGAATGACACCTGAGTTAGTTTCACTGTCTTCTTGACTGGATCTGTCACAAGCACCTGTTAAGTCCTACAGCACCTTGCCCTGTTTTCAGCATTGGATTAGACACTGCATACTGGATACCACTGAATTGCTATAAAAATTGGATGACAAATTTTTGTTTTAGTTTTTCATAAAATCGAACCTTTGGTTGACAGAACTGGCTGTTGGCATCAGAATAGAGACCAGCTGGCAGCTTTCCTTGACGAGCTTCTTGACACATGGACACCATTTCATGTCTACAGCTGTTTGTGGGATATTGGGGGGGAAAGTGAAGCTTCACAATTGAAAAACTAAATTTCAGAAATTAAAATCGAACAAAAATAGCCTTTCTGTTTAGGTGGCTTTCAAACTGATTAAGAAAAAGAAAGAGATTTCTAAAATCAGAATACATTTTGGGTGGGACATTATTTCAAACTTCTGCCTTATATTGTACAATGCAGCTACAGAATTATAGTTCACTATGGCCATTCTCTACATAAACAACATTAAAACGAAATATTCCTCGTAAGCCTTTCATCCTTAATTTGATAATTAGCCAATATGCAATTTGGAGTTGAGAAAATGCCATTTTCTATCGTAGATCTCCTCCACCATGTCATGTTGCAGTCCCCATTCTAGGTAAACGTTCTGTCAGGATTCTACATCTAGCTCAGTCTTACCCTAATGCTTTTTGCCCAGAAAGCTGTCTGTCCATCATGTATTGTCCATGGCAACAAACTGCATTACAATGAACCTTTCTGCATTTATGTGTTTAATATTAAAATTTGTTGAACTTTAGATATATTTTTAAATCTATATTTTTTCCATTTATCTTCAAGATTTAAGAATTTCTTATCAGAGCAAAATAGAAGTAGGAACAATGTACTATTTAACAGGTTTCCCAAAAATAGCACTTTCCTGCTTCTTTATCAATAGACAAGAGACTTAGCTGTAAAGATACACAGATTTAGACTCTTGTTGATACTGTTTAAAAGAAGTCGCTAAGAAGCTAAATCTAAACATGTTTTGTTTACTTTTCAGTGATAAAATTATCATTTTAGAGCATCATCCAGTTATAAAAGCAATGCTTTATGTTTATCTACTGCTATGTACTTGTCAGAATGGTTTCCACATTTTTATCATCACATTTGAGCCTTATGAGGTAGAGAAGGTAATAAACACATTTGAGAAATAAAAAATATGAATTAAAGGGGCTCAACCACCTAGCCTAAAACCTCAGGAAAGTGAGTGAGAAAGCCAGGACTAGAACTCATGCATCTCAACTCCCAGTTATTAAAGTTACGCTGCTTCCACGCAAGTCAGGAGGAGTCTTTTCAAACTTACTCTGAGCATATCCAATTATTGTCAAGCAATCTTAAGATTTCCTGAATAGGCAGGGAAGTATGGCCAAATTACTTGTGCAGTAGAATTAAGTATAAAACCAATGCCCTCTCTCAGTCCAGGACTGTTTTCCTGCATTGTGCCTCAGATGTGTTGTAAAGACAGGATTCTATGTGCAGCACAACCTGCTCAACCCACAGACTATCCAGAGATGATGTTATGTGTGGTAGAAATATTCCTATTTCATGATCCTTAGCCACCAGAGAACATGATGGAGTGGGTAGGTGGCCTCCCGCCCCTGTTCCCTCTCAGAACTGGAGTTGTTTGCTAGCACCCTAGAGTTATGACAAAAAAGATGCCACCCTAGCAATGAAGTATACTTCTCACCAGCCTATATACTATTCTATGGAAGTTACCAGTAACATCCTAAGAAATTATGTCATTAAAGGAATCCTTACTGTGCCCTTCAGAATTCAATCACGATGATCTTTCATCTTGACCTCCACAGTGAAACATTTTAGTGTGATAAACTTCAAAATTCTTAACTAGCGAGCCACTTTTATATTGGAAATCTCTACCAGAGTCGCATTCATTGTTAAGGCACATGTTTGTTTTCAGGATCAAGAATACTGAGCTAGCTTTAAATAGCAAACTGATTTATATATGCAATTATAGGATGCATTAAGATGAATGATAGCCTTTACATACTAAAAACTTTACTGCCGATATTTTGTTTTAAAAATAGCTTTGCATAGTAAATGCAATTACTTTTGTAAAACTAATTATGTTAAGCCGTATGTTCAGACACTTTCTGCCATGGCCAAAAAGTATGTATGAAAGTGTGTGTGTGTATTTTCTGTGAAAGGGTGCCAGTGTTTTACCTGAAATTGTAGTGACACTTCAGTTATCTATGCATTCTTTGTATCTGTGATTTGGTAAACAGGCGGCCATGTTCACTATGCCTTGTATGTCTTATCATTTTTTTAATTAACCTGTTAAATACAGCTTAAAATATTTTTATTTTATTTATTCTATTTTTACTGAAATATACTGCATTATTGTGTTTAATGTATTATTATCTTCACTGGATATTATCTCTCAATGTATCCAGGTCTAAGTAATCTCAGTGAACTATACATTGCCTCAAAGGTGGTTTTGTAATGATTTGTAGTCACATTTTTATTGGAATATGTAGAAGAAACGGCAAAATACTTAGAAGTTTCTTTTTATCTTTTTAAAAGCAGCTAGATAGACGCATACTTGCCACCTCATATATGCGCTCCTTGGCCACATCAAGGGGAATAGCCAACATGCCTATGGCTAGAAACTTTACTTTGCAAACTTAAAGCACTGCTTGGTGCTTCATTTTTATATCCCTCACAACACGTGTGAACTTATCTAGAGACACACACATGTCCTCATGCCCTTTGTTTCCACCTGAATATATGATCAACCATAGCTAATTGGGACCATTGTTTTTTGTTTATGTCTGTCTTACTGCATGAAGCAACATTAGACCCATTCTCATTAAAATAAGTTCTTGGTGATAAACTGTTGGCACTGCTACTTTTTTAAAAATGCCACTTTCATGATTTTATGATGAGCATTTGTATAAGTCTACACAAGGTCATTTACTAGAAGCCCTAAGTCTTTCCTCCTTTTCTTACATGACGCACTCACTTCATAAGCACTGCAACACAAAGTAAAGATTTCATTAACTGTGAAAAACACTTCCCTAACTGATATTAGCACAGCTTAACTAGTAAAAGCATTAGCTCTCTAGTTTTCCAGATTTACTCCACCCAATACACAGCTAACATGTGTTACACAGCCTGTAAAATGAAGTTTAATTTATTTCACCTTCAGAGAAAAGATACTGCACACACTTTATCAGTGAGAGCACTCCCTACCATCCAGAGCAGCTTGTTTATCCCAAAAGAACATTTGGTTTTGCTTTTGGCCACTTCTGCTGTTGACCACTTTACACATTAAATGTAATATGTTGTGAGAATAAACTTAGCTGTGAAATGTTCGGCTCATTTATCTGACATCAGTTATACATATCCAGGCACAGCGATAAAAATCTCCATGCCAGCCATTTTATTTTCAAATTATTCTTAAATTTAAAACCATTTTAGTAATGTAAGATTTTGCTTTGATTAGCTGTTGTATATTTCTACCTGGTAAGAACTAGAAAGTAACTTTAAATTTTGAATAACTCATCACACTGTCCTTATTTGTTACTCAGGAAGGACATCTGGCATTTTGGACTTAGCGGCCTATTTAGTCGCCAACTTGATGCTTGTGTATGCACTCTTTCTAGTATTAAGAAAGTCCGTTTTAAAAAAAAAAAAAAAAAAAAAAGTCCGTTTTTACTTTAAGACCCTGATGTCAAAGAATGAAAGAGTTGTACAGGCACTAAATCCAAAACGAAAAGTAACTGGAAAAACAGTATTTGAATCTGGTTTAACTGTCAGGCATATAGAAGAAAATAAATGGAATTTAAAGTGTAGACCCATTTTTTTTGTTCATCTTGCGTTTCCTCCCATAGTTTATCTTTTTTTCTCAAAGGCAGTTACTCTTCAAAGAGCAAAGTTTCAATTGGTTTCAGTTATTATACAGTGGTAAATAATTACAGATTAAAAATCTGAATTTGCTATACCAGTAATTTCATTATTTTAGTTTTTGCAGCATTTTTCTCTTAAGCTGAAGAAAGAAAAATGTCAGTGTAATCAGTATTTTTCACTAGAATTCTAGCATTGTTTTTATCCAGAGTTTTTTTCCCTTCTTACTCTACTAAAATATTTAAACAATTGATCACATCCTTCTTAGAAGATTCTCAAAGAAGAAAACCACAGGCTTAATGAAGGAATGGTTTAATATAGAATCTCCATATACTTATAAAGAGAAAAATAATTTATAACAAGATTCATGTTATGAGATACTGGAGTTGCTAACGCTGTGACATGACATGAACTATACACTGCTATAGAGCTCAGAAAAACATCCTGAACTACTCCATAATAGGGTGAGTTTCTTCTTATACCTTATCACAGAAAGTAAAAATCTTGGACCTGCTACTTCTGGACAGTGGCGTGCTCTTCAGCCTGGGGCAGAGGGGTGAGGACAGGAAAGGGATAAAAGATTCCTGGGATAAAATATCAGGTCTTTACTGAACAAAATTCAGTTCAGCTGCACTTGCCTCCCAGAGGCATGGAAGGCTCTAAGCCAGTGGTAGTAAGAGGAAACCATACTCTGATATCAGAGCAAAGATTATATAGTTTTTGATTTTTGAAATTAGTAAAATAAGCTGAGCATTTAAAACATTTCCATAGTTCTTAAGTCATAGTTAACATGAAAATTCTTTGGGGATTTAAAAATAATATGTCTGGTCCAAGTATAAAAAGTCATGTTTCACTGACATGCATTACTGCTAAGTATAAATCTTCAGCTAAAGAAATTTATTACTACTAAATGAAGTCCACCATTTTTATCCTCACTTCAGGTGAGGAAATTAGAGCTGAAATGAACACTAGAGCTGAAACAGACCTAAATATTCATCTTAAAGAAGATAATATTCTCCTAAAATCATGACATCTGAATTGAAATTTAGGAATTTACATAACACTATTCAACACAAGTGGATTCTTAAAATAGAACTTTAAATTCAAACTTTATAAATGTGTCTATGAACATGTTCTTAAACAGCAGGATTTATAGTTGTAACTTACTTGATTTAATATCAGTTTCTGTTGCCATGATGAAAAAAAAGTCAATAGACCCAGAAATAATAACCATAACCAGTTCTTGGAAGGCAACTGATAATACAGTCAAGATGAACTGACTTTTAATATAATTAAAATAGTGCTGCAATATGTTTTAATTGAGCATCAGAAATGATTTACCAGGGCTTCACTACTGTGCGCCATCTGAAATGAACGTTTTCACCTGATCTTTGAATAGACCCAGAAATTTGTATACATTTCTTTAACAATAGGTGTGTCACTTATATTCAACAGTTTGACCTTGTCCTCAGAATTACTACTTAGATGGAAATTTGCTTAGTCTTTTTTTTTTTTTTTTGCTTAGTCTTTTTTTTTTTTTAACAACAGTATTTGGCATAAATAGTCAGAAGGGAGAGCTTATGTTCACTGTGCTTAGGATCCTGGAAGCTCTTCCAGTGAGAAAGTTTTTGCCCTGAATGGACATATGAACTAGAACATTGGGCCTTTCTGTTTTTCCTATTTCTACTCAACCTCAATCACATTACAAAAGATCAACCTCGACAGTGACTGAAATGTTTAAACTACAGCTGACTCGATACTGAAGAGTGACCTAAGGTCTGTGCAAGAGCATCTTTTCCATACTTATGCTGATAAACCGCCTCACAAATTAACTTTGAAAAGAAGTCTGTTACAAGGCACACACTGTTTCCCTTGTGGAAAAATTGTTGCAGCTTTAAAACCAGTGTCCTAAGTCCAGACTGAAAGTTACCAAGAGTGAAACCAGTTCTAACAGCTGTCTAACCTGCAGACTCTGGTGGGGGCGGTGGGGGGGGGGGGGAGAATCTATTCCTGACCCTGTAGAAAAAATGCAAGACACTCACAGCTATGGTCGAGGATGCCTGGGTAGAGAGGAAGGTAAGTTTTCTTTAGGTTTTTCCCCTCTTCTGGGTATTGATGGTGTGGAAAGATAGCCAGGCAAGACAGTCTTGGGCCCGACCCAACGATAATAAAAATGCGGAGTTGGCATGTGAGATCTGAGCCCTTGCGGACTGGGAAACGGCAGCATGACTGGGGGCAAGGCAATCTCTGTGGGTCTCAGTGGAGTCATTCTGTCTTCTGGCCGAGGTCTCACGAAGTTTGTTGGCCGTTCATGTGGTCTGGAAGATGTGTTCTTCATAATTGTAGGCACTAAAGGATTGGTGGTGGGCTTGCTGGGTTTTCTGACCTGTGAGGAAGACCCCACTTGATTTGTATTTTTCTGTGGAAGAGATGTTTTTGTTGTTAATGTCTCCGACTGATTAGCACTCGCAGTAGTTTCTCGACTCAGGAACTCGGCAATTTTCATCTGGATGCTGCTGTTATCAGCGATGGAAGATTTTGGCAGCGACATCCTTTGCTTCTTCTTCTTCTTCTTCTCCCGTTTTGAAGGCTCACCCAACTCCATCCCCTCCAGGAGACCCTTCGCCGCTGCACGGGCCAAAACATCTTTCACAGACACCGTCTCAGATGGGTCCCGCTATGATGGAAGAAGCAGCTAGTAAATGGGGGGGTTACCTGTTACCATGTACACCACAAATACTTATCAGTGTTTCAGTAAAGATAAAACAGTATCATTATTACACTAAAAGAAATAGTTTTTAGGCTTCAGTCCCTACTATATCCCATAAGCTTCAGGAAATTACTTTCATTATACTTAAACCTCCCCATTTGTGAACCTGATAGAAAAGAAAAAAAAAAAAAACAGAATTACAGTTTATTTCTTATCTGTGAGCTAAAATGAACTAGATGTTGACAAGTGCTTAGAGAGGTGGGGGTAGAGAGTAAGCAAGGGAAGAATACTCAGGAGAAGCACAAAGATTAAAAAAACAGGGATTTTTGGCCACACAGTAATAATTCTTTTTCATGCCCTTTAGGTATTTATGAAATAAGCATACCATTATGAAATGTTCATAAAATTCCTAGGTTCCTTGTATGAGGCTTTGTTGTTTCTTAATCCCTAAGTATGAAATGGATTGGGGTTTCATCCTTACCTCCCTTGTTAGAACAGAAAGAAAACAACCATTGGTAATTTCAGATGGTTCCATTCTAAAAAATTTGTCAGTAGACAAATGTATTTCCTTTAAGGAGCACAATGGAAGGACAGGGGGACTAAGCCTGCAATAGATAACAGCAAATAATTAACAGTTAGAATGCTTTATTTGCCAATCAAGGGAGACAGTAAATTGCAACAAAGCACACACGCATGCACCATTTGTTTAAACAAAAATTCCAAATAAGAATAAAATGTCAAGGGGAGCAAACAAAATGGCAGAGTACAGCATGATGTGAGCCAACCTCCTCTCACAACTATGCAAAAAGAAAAATCTACATGTGGAACGATTCTCACAGAATTTCTACTGAACACTGGCAGAAGACCTCAGACATCTGAAAGGGCAATAAAATCTCCACATAACCAGGGAGGACAAAAGAAAAAAGAGGGAGAAAAGGATGGAAACGGAACCTGTGCCCCTGGCAGGGAACCATCTAAGAGGCAAGGTTCCGGCACCTGTGAAGCCCCTTCACCAGCAGGGGGGGGCCACTGGGACAGAGAGGGCGCTTCCCGAGCAGAGCGCAGAACCTGCCGCAGCAGGCGGACAGCCAGAGACCTGCACAGGTGGTCAGTGCCGCTGCGCCTCCCTGGCCCGAGACACACGCCCACTGGCGCAAGCAGGGGCTGCGGGCTGGAGCTCGGGCTTCAGAGGGCCAACCTGGGGACAGGACCGGGGTTGGCTGTGCAGAAACAGCCTGGAGGGGCTGCATCCTGGTGCGACTGCAGCCAACAGGGTATGCAGAGGAAGCCTGAGCCCACCACAGTGGTGATGTGCCACTGTTGAGGGCATGTGAAGGGAGGGGCGGAACCTGCCTTAGCAGCCTCTTTCCCGCACACGTGCTCCAAGACAACAGGACTCAGGCTACAGGAGTTCCAGAAGCAGGCGCCAATCACTGCACGTGAGCTCCAGGAACTGGCATGAGCCACGGACAGCATCACAAGTTCCAGGGGCATCAGCAAGCTGCCACTGAGAGCTCCCCGAGTGGGCGCTAGGTGTTACTGTGAGAGAGAATGCCAGCAACTGCATCTGCACACACTCCATCAGTGGGATAATGGACAGCACACGTTGAGGAAAGAGGCAGCAGGCGTTCATACCGAAAACAACCCTCACTCAAAAAACACTAAACCCACAGAAGCTACACAGGGCTCCTCCCACATATAAACAGCCCTCTAAGGCCACAGAAGATAGTTCCTAAAAGGGAAAAATATGCAACCGAGAATACTATACCCAGCAAGATTATCCTTTAGAACAGAAGAAGAGATAATTTCGCAGACAAGCAAAAACTAAAAGAATACAGTAATACTAAACCTATCCTAAAAGTAATTTTGAAAGGTCTTCTCTAAATAGAATAGGAGCAAGAATTTACAAAAAAGAGAAAATCCTAACTGGAAAGTAAGTCACGTAAGCCAGCTAAAGGATAAACATGAAGATGTAAAAGAGACATCAAAATCATAAAATGTTGGGGAGGAGAGTAAAAAAATGTAGATTTTTTTTTTAGAATCTGTTTGAGCCTGTATTACTATCAGTCTAAAGCAAGTTGATACCGAAAGGGGCAAACATACTTGAAAAACAGAACAACCACAAGTCAAAAACATACAACAGATTTACAAAAGACAAGAGAACACAAAAAGTAATCACCAAATCACAAAAAGGAAAACAAAAGGAAAAAGTAACAAAGAAGAAATATAAAATCAACTGGAAAACAAGGTTTAAAATGGTAATAAATATATATCAATAATTACCTTCAATGTCAACGGACTAATTGCTCCAAACAAAAGACAGAGTGGTAGACTGGATTTTTAAAAAAAAAAAAAGAGCCTACGATATGCTGCCTTCAAGAGCCCCACTTTAGGACAGACAACACACAGATTCAAAATGAGGGGATGGAAAAAGATTTAATGCAAACAGAAATGACAAGTGGGGGTTGCAATAACCAAATAAGACAAAATAAACTTGAAAACAAAGGCCAAAAAGAGATATATAATAATAAAAGAATCAATATAAGAAGAGGTTTTTACACTCATCAACATATATGCACCTAATATTATCATTGTTGTTCATTTGCTAAGTTGTGTCCAACTCTTTTGTGACCCCCACAGACGGCAGCCCGCCATGCTCCTCTGTCCATGAGGTTTCCAAGGCAAGAATACTGGAGTGGGTTGCCATTTCCTTCTCCAAGGGCTCTTCCTGACCTAAGGATTAAACCCACATCTCCTGCATTGGCAGGTGGATTCTTTACCACTGAGCCACCAAGGAAGCCCTGCACATAATATAGGAGCACCCAAATATATAAAACAAATACTAACAGACACAAAAGGAGAAATTGATGAGAATACAATAATAGTAGGAGATTTAACATCCCACTCACATCAATGGACATATCTTCTGGACAGAAAATCAATAAGGTAACAGATCCTAAATGATAAAAGAACAGTTAAGAATGCACAGCCAACATTCTCTAGGGATGATCACACACTGGGGCACAAAACAAGTCTCAATGAATTTAACAGTATAGAAATTATCTCAAGCATCTTTTCTGACCATAATGGCATGAAGCTAGAAATCAATCACAGAGAAAGAAATGAGAAAAAAAATGATCACATGGAGACAAAACATGTTATCTTAAAAATCAATGGGTGAATGATGAAATCAAAGAGGAAATTTTAAAATACCTTGAGACAAATGACAATGAAAACACAAAATTTATGGGATGCAGCAAAAGCAGTTCTTAGAGAGAAGTTCATAGTGATAAAAACCTTCCTCAATAAACAAGAAACATCTAAAACAACTTAACCTACTACCTAAAAGAATTAGAAAAAGAAGAACAAACAAAACCTAAAATCAGTAGAAGGAAGGAAATAATAAAAATCACACTGGAAGTAAATAAAATAGAGATGGCGGTTCCTTAAAAAAACTAAAAATAGAGCTACCATATAATCCAGCAATTCCACTCCTGGGTATGTATTCTGAAAAAGATGAAAACTCTAATTCAAAAAGATACATGTACCCCAATGTCCATAACATCACTATTTACAATAGACAAGACATGGATACAAACCAAGTGCCCATCAACAGATAATTGGCTTAAGAAGATGTGATGCTATATACATATATAATGGAATATTAGCCATAAAAAGAATGAAATATTGCCATTTGCAGCAACATGGGTAGACCTACTAGAGAATATTATACTTAGTGAAGTCAGACAGAGAAAGGCAAATACTATATGATATAACTTAAATGTAGAACCTAAAAATAATACAAATGAATCTATATACAAAATAGAAAGACTCACAGACATAGAAGACAAACTTAGGGTTACCAATGGGAAAAGGGAGCAGAGGAAGGGACAAATCAGGAATACGAGATTAACAGATCTGAACTATAATACACAGAAACAGACAAGCAACAGGATTTACTGCATAGTAAGTACAGGGAGCTGCATTCAATATCTTTGTAACAGTGGAAATCTATATATAAATAAATATAATGGAAAATAATCTGAAAATATATATATTCAGTTATTTATACAAATGTGAGCTTCCCAAGTGATCACAGAATCTGCCTGCAATGCAGGAGACCCAGATTCAATCCCTGGGTCTAGAAGACTCCCTTGGAGAAGAAAATGGCAACCCACTCTAGCATTCTTGCCTGGAGAATTCCATGGACAGAGGAGCCTGGCAGGCTACAGTCCATGGGGTCGCAAAGAGTCAAACAGGACTGAGTGACTAAGCATGCATATATATACATAAATATATTTCAGTTATATATAACTGAATGATGTTACTATATACCTGAAATTAATGTAATATTGTAAATCAACTATACTTCAACTTAAAAATAAATAAAAAATCTAATGAAATACAATACATACAGATTTTCCTCTATTTTTGCCATATTACATTCTTAGAAACATCATTCCTGACAGACACATCAAATCACTCACACTGATGAATTTGGTTATATTGTGCAATAATTCTCTTTGCTACTAGATGGTGGTTTAGTTTCTGGTATGTTAAGAAGCTGGCAGAAATAAGGTTGGCTGTTAACTACCAAGAAGAATTATTAAGTAAGGAAGTAAAGAAAGAAGGAAATATAGATGTGGTTAACATGTCCACCTGTGAACTGGCAAAGGAAAAACATCAAATTAAAAGGAGGGAGCAAACCATATACCTATTAAGATCCCCCGGTGGTCCAGTGGTTAAGAATCTGCCTTGAAGTGCAGGGAAGGCACCCCTGGTTAGGGAAGTAAGATCCCACATGCCTTGGAGCAACTAAGCCCACAGCACAACTACTGAGTCCAACACAGCCAAAGAAATAAATAATTAAAAAAAAAAGAATTACAGGAAGAGTTCAGAACAAGGGAAATAAGTTAAAAATTTGAGACATTTTTAAATACCTTATTAATTGTCACAGTCTTCAAGAAATAACTGGTGTCATATATTATTAATAGACACCCCTTATCTTGATGTCCAGAGTTTGGATGGAGTATTACGGTTTTTCTTCTCTACCCCTAGTTTAACATACCATTTTACACAGAAGCTATTATGGTTATTCAGGCTATTTTCATTTCAGTCCTGTGGGTGCCAAAGGCTAAACGGGTCTAAGAAACATATATTTTCAGATATTAAACATCCAATTTTCTTGCTACTTTCTAAGGTTATTTTATACTTTCCTTCTATTGAAGCATGTATCTAAGACTCAGGATATAAAGTTTATATTCAATTTACCCAGAAATCAATCAAGTCGAAGCTCAAATGCCTTTAGCCTTATTTGACAATAATAATAACAACAACAAAACAAATCTTTTAGTGTACAATACAATTCACATACCAAGCCATTTCAAAGCTTTTACAGAATCTACTTTAAAGTTGTAAGAAGTTAGGCTATTTGGACGTATTAAAGTCTAATAAAAAAGAAATGAAATGCCTTCTAACTTAGAAAATTGTAATTTTTCACTTTCAAAAATATTTACTTGAGTTGTTTAGAAGAATTCTTTCTTTCTTACCTATAAGGTTGTACTTTAATCCCGTGGTCTTGAAATTCCAGTGCTTTCTTAACAATAGCTTCATTTTCCTCTGGATAAACTGAACATGTACAGTAAACAATAGCTTGAGCTCTAGTAACTATATTTAAAGAAGATGAAAATAATATAATGGCTCCATTAACAATCGTGAACAAATATCTTGTGTTTTTAGTGGTGGTGTGGTTTAGTCACTAAGTCGTGTCCAACTGTTGCGACCTCATTGCAACCTTCCAGGCTCCTTTGTCCATGGAATTCTCTGGGCAAGAATACTGGAGTGGATTGCCATTTCCTTTCCAGGGGATTTTCCTGACCCAAGGATCAAACCTGGGTCTCCTGCGTTGCAGGCAAATTCTTTACCAACTGAGGTATGAGGGAAGCCCAGATATCCGTACTAATACCACACGGTTTTGATGGGTATGATGTCTACAGATGCTTGCATGGCTCCCCTTTAAAGCATGTATTAGTAATATAGTCTTGCCAATAAATGAAGTAAATATAACTGGATCAAATAGAAATTGAAAATCCAATCCATATGACCAACCTTACTACAAACACAAGCAAATAAATACTGCAGATTACCATAGCTTGACACTTCCAGCCATTCTTCCAAAAGCCATATCACATAACTAGTTAAAAGGACTCTAGAGACAGACTTAGGTGTGAATCCCAATTCTGTTATTTACTGATTTATGAACCTGGGAAAGTTACTTACCTCTCCAATTCTTCTACTCTAAAGTGAGGTAATATTACTACCAGCAACTCACTCACTTATTCACATTTACCAAGCACATACTACATGCTAAGCACTGTTCTCACTATTCAATACATACACACAAAAACCCCGGCCCCAGGGAGCTTATTTTCTATGTTTCATTGACATAAGACATAAATAGGGCTTCCCTGGTGACTCAGTGGTAAAGAATCCACCTGCCGATGCAGGAGACACGGGTTCCATCCCTGGTCCAGGAAGATCTCACATGCCGTGGAGCAACTAAGCCCGTGGGTCTAACCTGAGCTCTAATGCCCATGGGTTGCAGCTACTGAACCCACGTGCTGCAACTACTGAAGCCCATGTGCCGAGGCCCCTACTTCACAACAAGAGAATCCACTGCAATGAGAAGCCGGTGCACCACTGTTAGAGAGTAGCTCCTGCTCTCTGCAACTGGAGAAAAGCCAGCACAGCAATGGAGACCCAGCACAGTCAAAAATAATACATAATTTCGAAAAGACATAAATAAATAAGAAATTTTGTAATTCCTGGGTGGTCCAGTGCTTAGGACATAGCGCTCTCACTGCCAGGGGCCCAGGTTCTTAGTTCCCATTGGGAACTAAGATGCTGCAAGCTGCGCAGTGAGGACCGCCCCCAACAAAACTAAAGCATTAGGAGGTGACAAATGCTATAGAGAAAATCAAAGCAGATATGGAGGATGGTTAGTTTCAAGAGATCAGCTTGCAATTTTAAAGAGTGATCATAGAAAGAATTTTTTAAATGTATTATTTATCAGCTCCCTAATCTTCCAACCAACTCATTTCATTGATCATATACATACTATCATATTCAAAATAGTATTTATTAATAGCATCAGTTAAAAGGACAGAACTCCTCTGTGTTTTTCTACTTTGCCTTATTTCTACTTCATATATGCTATATCTTTATATATTAAATCATCTATACCCTATACTAACCTTTGAGCCTTTGGAGGTCAGGATTTATCCAAACTCATATTCTTAACAACCGACTTAATACCTGACCCAGAGAAGACATTTGATAAACATGCAATAAGTTAATAAAAGTTGACATAATTTCTCAGACTTCTAGATTTCCATATCTAAGTGTGAAAGGGCATTGGTACTCAAAATCTAAATGTAGGAATTGAAGCAATAATATAAACACTTAAATGGCCTTGTTACTCAGACTTTAAGAGATCTAGGCTTTATCTTTAATTCGTCTATTTTCTTTTTAGTATTAAGAAAAGCAAGAGTGTGCTTAAAGTTGGGATCATAGAAGAGTTGTTAGGGCAGATACAAAACAGAAAAGTTACATCAAAAAGCCAAACAAGAGAAACAGAAGATGAAATTATACAACAATTGATGTACATAATTATTTCATTTCAGCATTAAGAAGCTGTTAGTTCTTCTTGCTAACCTATGTTTAAAATGACAGTAAAGCATATATTTTTGAGACTTAGATTGGTAAAAATAAATATTTTGTTATTTTAAGGAACTATGACTAAGGCTTCTGGAAAATCCACTTATGGCTCACACACCATTGCCTGAATATGATAAATTAAGTATTAACGTTTCTAAGATTTACAACATGTTTTCAGTTTGTGCTGATAGCAAACTTACATTTCATGGCATGTGTTAGCTGTTCATATTGCTGTTGAGCAAGAACATGAAGTTTATCTTCTGATGGGCCTCCTTGAGAGAAATCTTTAAGTAAATCTGTATCTAAAAACAAATAAATGCTTTTAAATATATCACTATTAGATTTTTCATATATTGCTGTGATCACATTATTTAATATTTTAATCATTTTCCCTATTAATGAATTCTCATAGAAAATATTTATTAGACATACAGTACTATAGAAATGCTGACTTAAAATTTTAAAATCTGGATTGATAATTTTGCTTAGTTTTAATATTACTTTTCTTTTATTCTCCAAATTCTTATCATAGTTATCTAACCAGCCAAAATAAGTTATTCAGGCACAAAAGATAGAAGGCAGTCAGCCTGAGTACAAATAAAGGGAAAAAAGATTTATTTTCCAAGGCAGAAGCTGATGGGCTACATTCAGATCTGAGTAAGAAAGAATACAAAAGAATACAGTTAAAAACATTAGCTTACTAAAAGAAATCTTGGAAGAAAAAACTTCAGGGAAGCAACTGTATGTCTTCATAATAGATTAAAAAAACAAAGGATCAAGAAATTCTTACAGTAGTCTTTTAAATTTCTAAAACTATTTTTAACATATTTCTTGATAATATTAACTAAGATATATTGACTACTACTCTATATAGATTATTTTATTCAACAACCCCGTGAAGCATTATTATCCCTTTTAACACTGAGAAAATTGTTCAAGCATACATTAAATAACTGGTCTAAGGTCATACAGCTATTAGATCAAAGCCAGGTTCTAGCCTGGCAATCAGACCAAACCTCCAAACCCTGTTTTATTCTGCCTCTCGGTAACTCCCTGGAATATGTGCTAAGTCACTTCAGTCATGCCCGACTCTTTGCTACCGCCAGGCTCCTCTGTCCATGGGATTCTCCAGGCAAGAAAACTGGAGTGGGTTGCCATGCCCTCCTCCAGGGGATCATCCCGACCCAGGGATTGAACCTGTGTCTCTTATGTCTCCTGCATTGGCAGGCAAGTTCTTTACCACCGAGCCACCGGGGAAGCCCCCTGGGAATATGAGAGGCAATTATTTATACCATATATTGGGCTGGTCCCCATTCCAGTAATACTACTAAAGGTTAATTAAACTTCATTTCTTTCCAATTTAGCTTTACCCTTCACATTTTTCTAAGTCTTTAATCACTTTTTAAAGGACTATTTATACATTATTATACTCTAAAACCATATCAACTTACCTTTTTCACCCCACTTTAAAATAATTTCAAGTGGTTAACAAAGATCAACTTCATATATTCCTCAAATATAGGAAATTTTTTAACCATTCTAAAAATGGTTGTAATGTTTTTCAATATTAAAATGTTTGTCAAACTAATTCATGCTTTCTCATGAATCTAAGTTTATGATCACTAAATTTATGATAAATAAATTATATATATCATAATAAATTTATATATAAATTATATATAATTTATATAATTTATATATATTATATATATAATAATAAATAAATTTATGATAAATTTATGGTAAAATATTTTTACCATAATCACTAGGTCAGCAGCTCCTTATTTGCTCTGGCTATTACCTCCCCAAAGAAGTTTCCTTCAAAACCCTCCTTTTTTCCAAGCTTGCCAAAGACCACTTCTTGGCTTAGCTGGTCACCTCGTCAAGGATTTCAAAATATTACCATATCTAGGAAACTTTATTTTCCCTTTTTGTCATTTGTGGTTCCCTTTGGTCTTTTCTCCGCTAGACTCTAGATTATTTTTGCCAATGGTTTATTTTGTTCTGCATTCCCACTTCAAGATGGCTCAGGATAAGGCCAGTCTCACAGGAGTTCTAAGCTTGAGTTCTCTTGACTGCAGCGCTTATTGTAGCTGCTGCTATTACTTCCTCTCTTCTTTCAAAATTTAATTCTTCTCTGATCATTTTCCAAAGTGAGTGTAGGAGTTTTCTCAGTCTACCACACTCCCCTCTGAGCTGGTTATTCTTCTGTTTAACTCTCATGGAAAGAAATTTTCTGTAGCAAGACAGAATTCCACATGGTTCCGTATAAGCCCAATTAAAAATTGTGTGGTATAGTGGAATTCTTTCTATAGTGTACTATAGTGGAATATGCTAACTAAGCTGAATTTGAATTCCAGCTTTGAATCTAGCTACATGACCTCAGGCAACTTGCTAACTTTGAATCTTTGTTTTTTTGTCCCCTTTTATAAAACAGAGATAATTAAATAACACTATCCTCACAAAGTTATTGTGAATATTAAGTTATAATGCATGAACACTTCCTGGAATATTGATTGGGGCATAGCTATACTCCATAAATATTACTTTCCCTCGATTTCTTTTCCTTCATCTTAAATTCTTTCCTTGCTAGAAATAACAAACAGTTACTCAACATATTCTGAATGTTAGTGGAATGTCTTCTCTGTTTAATATCCAGTTAACCTTATATATGCCTTTCACTATAAACAAGGGAATAAAGTAAGGATCAATTTCAGTTAACATACTGTGATTAACAGCATTATTCAAAGAGCAGTAGTGTTTGAATCCAGGCTCTGACACTTACAAGTCAAAACACCAAGAGGCTTCAACCTCTCTGAGGCTTGTATTCCATATTTGTAAAAGAGAAACAGTAAGAGTTAACCACTTCACTGAGTTCTTGTGAGTTCTTGATGAAATAATCCAAGCAAAGTGTTCAGTTCAGTGCCTTATATGTAACTGCTCAATAAATGTTAATGCTAAACATATTTAATTTATTAAAAAAGCAAATAAAATAGTCTCAGAATTAATATTTGAGATATATCATAAAACATACATACTGCAGGTTAAAGAAGTCTTGATGTTGAGAGTCTGTTTACAATTTGATTAGAATCATCTTAGGGCACAGCCTCTAGAGTTAGGTAGATCTAAATCTTAATCTTGACTCTGTTATCAACGAGTTATGTAACCTTATAAAAAAGAATCAATGTCTCTCAGTCTCAGTTTTATTTATAAAATTCTCATAAATTTTAATGCCTGTATCTTGAGTTCTGGTATATAGCAAAATAGTATACTGGCCAGCATCTGTTCTGATTGCCTACATCTGTCTAATTACTAAATATTTTGAATATCCCCCTTGTCCATGTTTCACAGAACTGGTGTAAAGATTAAACGATATAATGGTTGTTAAATACTTTCTACGTATAAGCTATATATGGTAGCTATTCATTGATCAGATGTATCTATCATTTTAATGATTTTAAATAATTTCATTTTTAAATAATGATTTTAAGTAACTTCATTTAAAAAATATTAACAAATTTAAATAATTTAGAAATTAAAAATTAAAGCAAGTACCTTCATGCTCATTTAAAATAAATTCTACTGGATTACTAACACCCAGTCCTGAACAACGAGGTAGCAGCAGAATCACTTTAACTTTCTGTAATCGATGATCCTTTAATTCAAGATTCATAAATGTCTCATGAAGTATCTCAATATCTGGGAGAAAAAACACAGAAAATGTATGCAAAATATTCATTAAAAAATCTTAATACAGTCTATTTATCACTATTCATTTTTAAATCCTCAACCACACAAAATGCCATCTTAATGCAGCCAGAAAAGAGGATTATTTTCTAAGTCCTGAAGTTAACACATGAATTCTTTTAATAGAGTCCTTCCTCCTTCACTTGAATGGTTTTGAAGGTTAAATATCTTCTACATAAAATATAATTTAAATTTTTCCATCCTGAACTTCAGATTCCATTTAAAGCAGTATGGTGTAGTGGAGTTCCCTGGTGGCTCAGTGGTAAAGAATCCGCCTGCACTGCAGGAATCACAACCCATCCCTGGGTTAGGGAGATCCCCTGGAGGAGGGCCTGAGAACCCATTCCCATATTCTTGCCTGGAGAATCCCATGGACAGAGGAGATTGGTGGGCTAGAGTCCAGAGAGACCCAGAGTCAGACACAATGAAGCGACTTAGCAGGCACGCCCAGTGTAGTGGAGGGAACAGGGTTTTAGAGGCAGAAATACCCAAGTTTGACTCCCAAATTCACTATTTACTGTATCTGTGATAAGCCCCTATTTCCTTATTTGTAAAATGGGATTTTATTGTCCACACCTCATTTAATTGTAGTGAAGATTATAAAGTAGTTAGGCTTAGCATTGTGCCTACTGTACAATAAATGCTCAGTACTGGTTACTTCCCTTTCCCATTTTTTTAATCCCCTTTTATATTCTATTTTCCCTGGAAAACATTTTATTAGCATTTGTATGTTTATTAGCATTTTATAATTTTTACTTAGGCACAGTCTAAAGGTCCTTGGGGACCCTGTAATTTAGGACCGCCTGCCTCCCCTCAGGCTGTAACCGTCTGTGACCCTGTATTGGGGCAACCCCTCCGGTCCTTCAATGGCTCTCGTTCTCCTCATCTGCTGAGGAGTCACTCCTGAAATTGCAAAACCCTACCCCTTTCTCTTGTCTGATCAATCTTCTATTGTGTCTCTTTTGAAAAAAAAAAAAATTTAATCAAGTGCACCTTTCTCCTTTTTCCCATTTTTAACTCTTCATTGCAAAAGTTCAAACATTATGTCAAAAAAACCCATAATATATAGTGAATTCTCAAATGTTCATTATATTGCTTCAACAGTGAAACATTCATGCCCAATCATGTTTCATCTATATCTGCACACACTTCCAACCCCCCATATTATTTTGGAACTATGAAATATTTCACCATTTATCTAAAAGATAAGAACTCCTTTAAAAATATAACCCCATACATTTTGAAAAGTAATTCCTTATTGTCATCAAATTATAATAGTATCCAATCATGGCTCAAATTTTCCAAATCTCACACATCAAAATTTTTTTAGTTTGTTTAAATCAGGAGTTACATAGGTACACACACTGCAATGAGTCAATGTCTTACTTTAAATTTTCTTGTAGACAGGTACCCTTTCCATTTTTTTCTTAGCATTTATTTCTTAATGTAACATGGTCACGTGTACTACTAGTTTCCCAGAGCCTGGATTTTGTTCATTGGTTTCCTAGAGAGTAGTTTAACATGTTCTTGTCTTCTGTACTTCCTGTAAATTAGTAGTTGGATCTTTAGAGCTTAATTTAGGCTTGAGCTCTCTTTTTTCTTGGGAGGTGGAGGGCACAAAGCTAATTCACAAGTGGTGTCATATTCATTCATTAAATTGCCTTTATGGTATGAGTAAAGGTGCTGCAAAATAGTCATATTCTAATTCCGTCTTCTTTTTATCATTTCTCAGTCGGAATGCTTCTAAAACGAGACACTTCTGTTCCTCTACTTCTTGGTTACCCAGTGGTTCCTATTCTGTCTACTTAACTAGGTAAAAATGCCTAGGGGTAATAAAACTGGAAGTGAAATGCTGGATCATAGGCATGTATATTTTCAATTTTAGTGATCAATGCTAGTTTTCCAAAGTCACTGTACAAATTTATAATCAACCTAGCAGTGCTTGAGCATTCCAAGTGTTCCGTACCTTGCCAGCACATGGTATGGCCATCGTTGAAGAATGAAGGTTCTCATTTAGATGAAGCTCAATTTACCTTTTCTTTTGTTGTGCTTTTGGTGTTTAAACAACCACTGCCAAATTGAAGGTCTGAAAGTTTACCTGTGTGTTTTCTTCTAAAAGTTTTATAGTTTTACCTCTTATAAATAGGTTTTTTACCCAGTTTATGTGTATGATATGAAGTAGGAGTCCAACTTTATTCTTTTGCATGTGGATATCCAGTTATCCCAGCACCATTTGTTGAAAAGACTATTCTTTCCTTGTTGAATGGTTTTGGTACATTTGTTGAAAATCAGTTGACCATAAATGTAATTAGGGGTTTACATTTGAATTCTCAATTCTATTCCATTGATCTATGTGTATCTTTTATGCCAGTACCACACTGTCTCAGTTACTAACGCTGGGTGGTGAGTTTTGAAATCAAGGAGTGTGAGTCTTACAACTTTGTTTATTTTCAAAGCTATTCCACGCCCCTTCGATTTCCATGTGAAGTTTAAGACAGAATGTCAATTTCTGAAAAACACCACCTAGGGTTTTTTAATAGGGATTACATTAACTTTGTATTTTTTTCACAGATTCCTTAGAATTTTCTATATACAGAGCATTTTATCTGCTGATTCTAGATAATGTGGCTTTATATATTTTGAGACTGTATTAGTCTTCTTTAGTACTGTATATTTACCTGATGAATTAAACATGTTCTAACTGTATTTCTAGTAATTTTTCTTGACTTAGCACTGCTTTCCAGTATCTCTTTTCATTAGAATGTTTACTGGATATTTTTTCTGTCCAATTTTTAATATCCTTTTATGTTAGGGGTATCTCTTACAAACAGAATTTTACAGTTGATCTTTAAAAATCCAGTATTGATGCTGTCTTGTAATTTAAGTATTAGTCATGCATAGTTAATATGTTTACTAACTGATTTATATATTCATATTTTAAGTTTAATTTACATACTTGTTTTCTATGTATTTTGCCTTGTATATGTTAATATGGTGTTTCCAATTCCATATTCCACATCTCCCCCTTAGCTATTATTTTTACATTCTTTATTGATTGATTGCCTCCGATATTATAACACATTCATTGTTGTTTTAGTCACTAAATTGTGTCTGACTCTTTTGCAACCCAATGATATGATAGCTTTATCATATCTTAGACAAAGCAAGGATGAGAGAACACATTAATTCATTTCCTTCTCTAAATTATATACCATTGTTTTAATTACACATGACCCATATTTTTACCTCCACAAGACATTAGTTTACAATCCCACAAGATATTAGACTACAACTATTTAGATTTACCTATGTACTAACCTTTTCCATTGCTCCTTTCTTCTAGCACCTATAACTTTCTATATGAGATAATATTCCTTCTACTCAAAAAATAATCTTTAGTATTTCATTTATTGTATCTGCTGGTGACAAACTCAGGTTTTCTTTTCTGAGAATGTATTTTATGTCAAAGGAAATTTCTGCTAAGTATATAAACCTAAGCTGGCAGTTTCTTTCTGCCCTGAAGATACCATCTCTGGCCTCAGCTGTTTCTGTTGAAGTAGCTAACTCTATTTTTATTCCTATTTCATTAAAGGTAACATGTGTTCTCTCTCTCACTGCTTTGAACATTGTTCTCTATCTTCTGTTTTCAGCAGTTATGCTATGATGTGCCTAGCATGTTTTTCACACATTCATTTTTGTTGGAGTTCATAGGCTTCTTGAATCTGTGACTTTCATCAATTTTTAAACACCACCCCCCACCCCCGCCACCTGAATTTCACATATTGATTCTTCTCAACTCCTTTTCTCCTCTCTTTCTGGGTTCCTAATCACAGCATACATGAGATCACTGGATCACTGAGTCTCATGTGTATTTTATGATCTCTTCCATATTATTCATCCTTTTCCCTCCTGATGTTTCAGACTGGATAATTTCTTCTGACTCATTAGTTCACTGATTCCTCCTTTTAGTACTAATTTACTGTTAAAATCTATCTATTTCTTAATTTCACATATTGTATTTTCAGTTCTAGATTTTTCTTCTGGCTTTTTAAAAGCTCTAAAAGTTTTTAAAAGTTTCTAGTTCTTTGCTGGAATTCTACAACTTGCCATTTAGTCTTTTCAGCATATTAATCACAAATCCACATCTGGTATCTCCAGCACCTGGACCTTCTGTGGGCTTTCTTTTATTGCAGTATTTTTCTTTTTATTTCACCCACATCTTTCTTCTATCTTGTTTTTTTGGTGGTTTTTTTTTTTTTTTTTTTTTTGAGTGCCAGACACTGTATTTGAAAAAATTCAGGAGATAATATGAGATTCAGGATATTGTTACTTTCTTCCAAAGAGAATTTACTTTTGCCTCTGGTACGCAGCGAAGCCTGGGCACTAGCAAACTTACATCACCTTAATTCAACTGGGAACTGAGATGACTGGAATTTGGGCTTTAGTTCATCAAAGGACTGATCACCACTCAGAGTGTACTTCTGTGCTCCAATGAAATCCCGGGAATTTACAGTCTACCTCTCCATGTTAAGCCCTGAATTCTACTTATTGTCTCTCTGACCCTGTGAATCTGTCAAAAGATTAGGTTTCCAGCTCCACTGAACCTATAATAAAATGTTATCTTTTGTCACAGCTTAATCCAATGGAAACATTTTTTAAAAATAAGAAGCCTAAGGACTTAGAATCTGGTCCTAGATAATAGCTTTATCCCTTAAGTGCTCCTGTGATTGCGTTCTTATGTTTTAAGAGATGACAATTTCTACCATTTACTTTAATTATTGTTTGAACCTCAAATTATGTAGTAGCTGAACATTAAGCAATATACCAAAGTGCCAATATATTCATTAATTTAAACTGCAGTTGTTTAACTAATATTAAGCAACAGTAGTCTGATGTGGGGATATAGTCTGACATAGTAGGGATTTTAGGAGTATATTTCATATACAGAGTTTTGCATTACAAAAAAATAACAAATTCAAATGTTTTTAACATTTATAAGTCTTACAGAACATAACACCAAGAAAATAAGTATTTGTACATACTTTTACATCCCATTTTTGTGAAAAGATTCTTCAGGTCAGGATCCTTAGCTTGTGATTGTACTCCACACACAAATATTTTTGAAGTATTATTATTTGTTAAGATTGACATATGGGCAACTGTGTACCAAGAACCTGTATTGACCATTAAGATATCATCATCCATATTTAATAAAGCCTTTACAGAATGGACAGCGAGACTTCGAGATTTGTCCTACAAGATAAGAGTGTGATTAGAATTTCAAAGGGTTTAGGTAAAACAAGGTATTGGCAGAAATCTTGAGGTTCTCTAGCCCATTTTGAGTTTAAAACACCTTAACTATATGTTGAAATATAAAGTTAGCAGTTTATATTTATAAACTTTATAAATTTATATTTATATGTTTATATTTATAAAATTAACAAACAAAATTGGTTTAGCTTAAATTATGACTGTTATCATTTAATTGTTATATAGTGATGGAACAACAGACTGATTCCAAATTGGGAAAGGAGCACATCAAGGCTCTATATTGTCACCCTGCTTATTTAACTTATATGCAGAGTACATCATGTGAAATGCTGGGCTGGATGAAGCACAAGCTGGAATCAAGATTGCCAGGCGAAATATCAATAACCTCAGATATGCAGATGACACCACCCTTATGGCAGAAAGTGAAGAACTAAAGAGCCTCTTGATGAAAGTGAAAGAGGAGAATGAAAACGTTGGCTTAAAACACAACATTCAGAAAACTAAGATTATGGCATCTGGTCCCATCACTTCAAGGCAAACAGATGGGAAATCAATGGAAACAGTGACAGACTTTATTTCTGGGGGCTCCAAAATCACTGTAGATGGTGACTGCAGCCATGAAATTAGAAGACACTTGCTCCCTGGAAGATAAGCTATGACCAACCTAGATAGCATATTAAAAAGCAGAGACAGTACTTTACCAACAAAGGTCTGTCCAGTCAAAGCTATGGTTTTCCCAGTAGTCATGTATGAATGTGAGAGTTGGACTACAAAGAAAGCTGAGCACTGAAGAACTGATGCTTTTGAACTGTGGTGTTGGAGAACTCTTGAAAGTCCCTTCAACTGCAAGCAGATCCAACCAGTCTGTCCTAAAGGAAATCAATCCTGAATATTCATTGGAAGGACTGAAGCTGAAACTCCAATACTTTGGCCACCTAATGTGAAGAACTGACTCACTGGAAAAAACCCTGATGCTGGGAGAGATTGAAGGCAGGAGGAGAAGATAACGACAGAGGATGAGATGGCTGGACGGCGTCACCAATGCGATGGACATGAGTTTGAGTAGGCTCCAGGAGCTGGTGCTGGACAAGGAACCCTGGCGTGCTGCAGTCCATGAGGTACAAAGAGTCAGAACAACTGAGCAACTGAACTGAACTGAACTGACAGTGACAAGGCGATGCCAAACTCCCCTAATGCGATTAACAGATTACTGATGCCTGCCTTAGCTCCCATTCTTAAACTCCCATGAAAATGTGCTCACCCGCCACCGCCATTCTTCCTTCCCCATCACACTGTCATCTAACTGGCTGCTAGCTCACAGAGATTAAAAGTAGGATGGTTGGCAAGTTTAAAAAGCGGGCTAAGCAGATGAGTTTATGCAACTGATCTCAGTGTTCAATAAGGTGTCACCACCAGATAAGGCCACGAAACGCTCCCCAAGAATGCAGGTACTGTGAAGGGATAAACCTTACAAGATCAAAGTGAGTCTGAGGCAAGAATTGGAATCTAAGGACATAAAAATTAATTTAACTCAATTTCTTGAACCTTTTATTTTTCATTCTACTGAAATACCATTATAACTCACATTCTCTTGCTGTATTGATAGCCATTATACGTATCTTACAAATCAAAGCTGTAAGACTAGTAAAGAGATAATGGGAACGTATTACACATTGCATTTTCAAATGCAGGCTGGCACTAGCATCTTCCCCAGAAATGAAGAGAGAAAAGGGAATCACCATGCCGTCTCTTGAATCCTCCCTTGGGAGAGAAAAATATAGCTCTTCAGCTATGTGCAATACAAGTTCCCCCACCTGTGGTGTCTTGGAAGGAGAATATGTTCCTTACAACATGCCCACTTCACACGGGGCAAAGATGCCAAAGTACGACGGGAACACTGATGTAGCAGTATTGATTTTATACTTCTTTGTGGAAATTAGGCCTTATAAACCTCCTTGATAACCTATACAAAATATAATCAATTTCTTAGGTTTTATTTTTAAGTAGAGGAATTCTTTGAGTGAGCAGGATTATTGAGAGAATCACAATATTGAGAACCACAGTGAAAGTAAAAATTTGTTTACCTGAAATATAAGTTTATAATCTTTAAAAAGATCTATATTTAGAAGATCACTTTTAAGATGAGATGGAAAAATTAAGACATCAGAACAATGCTGATCCACAGCAAAGACTTTACTATCAATATGCAATACAGATTTGACTTTATTATAGCCATTTTTCTTCAAAGTATAGTAAACTTCTTCAGGGCTGTAAATACAGGGTTATAATTACAAACATAATACATAAAAATGTATTTAATATCAGCATCTTGTTCCTACAATAAATACAAGTATCATTGCATATACTGCATCTAATGGAACTTATAACTTAAGCCATCAGTAAGTTAAAAAAAAATTAGAGACAAAAAAGTTAACACATTTATTAAATTACTTTTGGTAATCTGGTGATAAAATCCTGAATGAAACTATGATTCCCAGTCACTCCCTCAGATGAGCCCCTCATCCATTAAAAAGGTAATACTTTTATCATATTATTTTGAAAGGCAAGTGACTTGAGTAAAGAAATTGATTAGAACTCTTACCTGATTTTACAAGTATTTATCCAAGCATAAAGTGGCAAAGTGGAGGCCCTTAATTCTTGGTTCCTAACTGTTTCTGGAAGAATGTGGTAAATTGAAAGGGCATCATGTTTGATTCGACATCTTGCCAATGCTGCAGCCAATTTTGTCTTAAAACTAGAGATAGAAAATCCATTCTTGGTAACTACTGCATTGAAGACAAGACTATCAATTTTCCACTTGAAAAATTAACAATTAGATTTAGAATTATAATACTCTATAATTCTATTTCAAATTTTTGAAGTCTAAAGTTAAAATTTGCCATATTTTAAAATGGGAATCCCCCCAAATTTTTAAAAATGGAAACCCAATAATTCTGCTTCTTTTTTTTTCAGGTTTTTCTGTCTCTGTATAGTTGTATATCTTAATTGTTTATAACAACTGCTGGTTGAAAAACAAATTTTATATAGTAAAGGTGAAGGGCTTGGAGTCAGACAAATTTGAAGTTAAATTCAGGCTCTGTCATTTACTAGCTGTGTGACCTCAGGTATGATGCTCTCACCAGCCTCAGTTTTCTCATCTGTAGAATGTGACCAGCTTACCTTGCTATTACTGTGGGGATTAATATCATGGGGCTTCCCTGGTGGCTTAGCTGGTAAAGAATCCACCTGCAATGTGGGAGACCTGGCTTCAAACCCTGGATTGGGACAATCCCCTGGAGAAGGGAAAGGCTACCCACTCCAGTATTCTGGCCTGGAAAATCCCATGGACTGTATAGTCCATGAGGTCGCAAAGAGTTGGACATGACTGAGTGACTTTCACTTGGTACCATCGAGTCACCAAGCACCGTGCCTGGCGGGTACTCTCCATAGGTCAGTCTGTGTTATCAGAGATGGCGAGTCTACGGCCATACCACCCTGAACGCGCCCGATCTCGTCAGAGATGGCGAGAGTGCAGTCTTGACAAGATTAAGGAGCTTTCATGAACTGGTATCAGGTCCTTCCCGGTTCTGATTATCTCATATCTCGTAGTTACAAATAACAGGAAAGGAAAACAAGAACTGGTTAGCATAAAATGAAAACCCAATGATTCTTTTTTAGTCTTATGGCCTCAACCCCTGGGAGGCATTGTGCACTGACTCTGTCTCCTGACTACAGCGGACTGGCAGAGGGCGGGCACTTGACCCAAACCAGTCAAGTGAATTTTTGTGTGCAGTAACAGAGCTCCAGTCAGTCTTTCAGGTCTGTGGTAGCGAGCTGACAGCAGCCGAGCTCCCCACTCTACAAGGAGAAAGAGCAGATGTAAGAATGAAGCTGCAGCGCACCATGGGGCAGGGACCAGAGTGGACGAGAGTCCCGAGGGCGCCCGAGCCACAGGGCTCAGGGAGGGGCAGCAGCACGTCCTTCCTGCAAGCCTCACTGTGCGGCCCTTGGGTGAGATACTTTATAGTAAAATTTCTCTTTTGCCTGACCTAGTTTGAGTTGGACTCCTGTCTGGTTGTCAAAAAGGAATCCTACCTAGTACACCATTTTCTCTTAGTTTATTTTTTAAAAGAAATGGGTTTTATTCCTTTTTAGCTTAAAATTATCAGAAATTTTATATACAAAGAACAAATGATCTCAAGGGGTTTTTTGTTTTGTTTTGTTTTGTTGTTTGCTGTTGTTGGCGGTGGGTTTTGTCTTTGTTTTTTGCTGTGCCACGTGGCTTGTGGGGGTTTAGTTCCCCAACCAGGAACTGAACTCAGGCCTTCCACAGTAAAAGCACTGAGTCCTAACCACTAGACCACCAGGGAATTCTCAAAATATCTCAAGTTTTGAAGTGCCATTAGTAATGCCTAACACAAAAGGAATGTGGCTCTATTTAAATATAAATTATTTTCTTAATGCCAAAAGATAATCTTCAGTGAACTGCTTGAATTTCCCAAAGGGAAAAAAAAAAAATCAGACATCATACTGAGAACTGTTTCACAATATTCACTAAGTAAGTAAAATGGGCTAAGAGTTTCCAAAGAAGAGGTGGAAAGAATATGAGAGATAAAACCCCATGAACAAGTGTTCAGAAGCATTCTGGCATATGAGAAACTCTAAAGCATTATGTGAATTAGAAAATTGGGAATAGAAGAAAAGGGATATCTAAGCAAATGTGATTTATCCCCCAAATCCATGAATGTTAAAAGTGTTTTAACATTCATGAATCATTCAAGGTAAATAACCTTACCACATTAATAAAATCAAGAAGAAAAATGATCATACCAAAACTCTGATCTCTGTTTTGTTAATTTAGTAAGACTACAGCTTTCTCTAGAGATCCTCCTTCCTGCATTGCAGCTGGCAAGTACCCGTAAGCATAAAGCCAGGACTATTCTAGGGCTCACCTCATTTGTTTTCATTTTCTCAAGGATTAAATTTCTGTGCTGCTATTTGTCTAATGTCCAAAATCTTTGCCTCATATATTTTGTCCATCTAGTTATTTATAGGGGCTTCCCAGGTGGCTGCTAGTGGTAAAGAACATGCCTGCCAATGCAGGAGATGTAAGAGATGCGGGTTCGACCCCTGGGTCAGGAAGATCCCCTGGAGAAGGAAATGGCAACCCACTCCAGTATTCTTGCCTGGAGAATGCCATGGACAGAGGAGCCTGACAGGCTACAGTCCATAGGGTCGCAAAGAGTTGGATACAACTGAAGCAACTTAGCATGCACAGTTATTTATAGGAGGAATGAATAAGTTTGATCCAAGACACTCTGTCATGACTATATAACTACGTTTTTAAAAGATCACTTTATCTATGGAAGATATTGTGAAGAAGGAAGAGTTACAGGCAGGGAATGAAGAAGCTAGCACAGTAGTCCAAGTGACATGATAAATTGCCTGGGTTTGGACAATAGGCGTGGAAACGGAAACAAGTAGCCACATTCAGCATACGGCCTCCAACTGGAGTCACAGACCTCTATGTAACAGGTATGGCAGGGGCGCCAGGGAGGGCAGGAAAGGAGAATCAAGGGTAATATCTAAGAAGCTGGTGGTGCCTTGACTGTAACAGGACAGTTTTGGGTGATTTCAGAGGAAGGGCTACTCAGTTCTTCCTCTCCTGTTGTTTCTCCAGTCTTTCACTGCCCATTTTCTAATGTCCCTGTCCATTTTCTAGTTTTGCCTCACCAAAGTCCAACAAATTATCTGGCAGAATCAGATTCTTGAGCTAGTATGATGCATGCAGAGAAAGAAAGGAAGAAGCTGTGGTCTCCTTTTATTTAATCCGGTCACACTATTTCAAAGATAGTTGCATTTGTACAAGAAATGAATTCTTAGAGCCCTTGCATGTATCAAAAAGACAGGGCTTCCCTGGTAGCTCAGCAGTAAAGAACCTGCCTGCCAATGCAGGAGACATGGGTTCACCCCTGATCTGGGAAGATCCCACATGCCACAGAGCAACTAAACCCACACACCACAACTGCCGAGCCTGTGCGCTAGAGCTCAAGAACTGCAATTACTGAGCCCACGGGCCACAACAGCTGCAGCCTGAGCGCCCCAGAGCCTGTGCTCCACAAGAAGCCACCATGATAAGCCATCAAAATGATGGCTTCTAAAGAATAGCCCGCACAGCAACAAAGACCCAGCACAGCCAAAAATAATAAATAAATGAATGATAACAGGTTCATCTTGGGCTCTATCCCTAGAGCCATGAACAAACGAAGAAAAAGATACCGGTTCGTACACAGAGGGATAAAACACAAGGATCTCAGGTAGAGACAACACAGATCAAACACAATTTTTATAAGGAGAAAGTGATTCTCATTCAGTTTCTTGTTAAATAACTGCTTCTTCTTCTATCACCTCTTAAAATTAGTCTTCATCGTCTTGGTAGAAACATACTAAGGTATACTTCAAGCTTAAAATGATTCTACTGCCCTGGGGACAATACTGCCCAGCCCTAAGGCCCAAACGATCTATAGAGCCTGGCCTCCAACATTCGGAGTTCAGAATTCTACTCCATTAGCTATGGAGGACTGGCCCAAGGGAATGCACTTGACCCACAAGGAGTCAAATTCCCTGGAAGGGGGTAGAATTTAGAATTGGGTGTAGAGATAATAAATTAATCTAAGTGAAGAAACTAACATACAAGTGTAACAAGTAAGCTTAAGACCTGGGGTACAGCAGTAAGGCTTTTTCCTTGCAGGCTAGAAACAGAGAAGGCAGATCAGGAGAGAAAAGGAGAATGAAGCAGATATTAAGAGAGAAGCAGAAAAAAAGAGACAAAGAAAATCCTGACATCTTTCCAGTTCCTGATTTCATCCTCTTCTTGAGTCTTTGAATTGCATGAGACATTCCAGGATCTATTTAAGAACATTTTCCATTTTTGCTCACGCTAACTGAAAATAGCTTCTATTACTTGAAAGCTGTGATTCTTGATTAAAACCTTCTCGGTTATCTTTATACATGTATTTTCTCAGCATTATCTTTCTCATACATTGATTTTCTCAGTGTTATCATTATACAAGTATATTACACTACTATTATCTTCAATTCAACCACTAAATACACACATTTCTCCTATAACATACTATGAATTGGATATAAAATAACTAATGTGGGAATAAGATCTGTATTATATGAAGCTCGATTGGTTCGGGTAGTTTCTGTTGCACTGACAGGAATGTAACCAGATAACTTCCTCCAGACAGGAGGTAACACGGTATGTATTACAGGGAAAAGTAAAAATCTGAGGAATCAGGAACCTTAGACAATAGTATCTTCTGGTTCTTCTGGCCTCGTGAGCCATGGTCTTTGCTTGTCCTATTTCCTACCTGCCTTGTTATAGCATTCTCAGCTAAGAATCTGCTGCTGCTGAAACCACAGTCTGGTCTTTCTTACTTGGTTAGAGCTCTATGGCTTTCCTGGCTGCTTTAGCCTAACCTCAGCTCTCATTACGCACACTAAGACTAAGTTGAGATTTCCATGAATCTCCTTAGTCCTAAGTCAAATGGAAACTGAAAGCAGTTCAGGAAAGCTGAAACTCAGAGCTCGTCTCAAAGCACACTGCCCCACCACTTTGTCTCCAGTGTATCTGCACCCATCCTGGGTACCCATCCTCAAAGGCAGGCTCCCTAGTACTGGTATGGGGGGTGAAGTGGTTGCCCAGCAACTTAAGTAGTAAACAGGAGCAAGATCCTTGCTTATCTAAGGTACCTACACTCAATTGCTTTTGCTTTTCTCCATCCCCAAATTTCTCATGGCTACAACTGACATATTACTATGTCATATCTGTCATCGTCTAGCATACTTTACCCAAGATTCACCAACTTAAGTGGAAGGAACAGTAGCATATAAATGGCTAAATCTTGGGCTCTGAAGTGAAAGTGACAGTGTTAGTCACTCAGTTGTGTCTGACTCTGTGGGACCCTGTGGACTGTAGCCCACCAGGCTCCTCTGTCCTTGGGATTCTCCAGGCAAGAATATTGGAGTGGACTGCCGTTCCCTTCTCCAGGGGATCTTCCTGACCCAGGGGTCGAACCCGGGTCTCCTGCACTGCAGGCAGATTCTTTACCGTTTGAGCCACAGGGAAGTTCTCTAGAGTTAGCCTTCCTGAATTTGAATTCTGGCACTTCTCTTTCTAGCTCTATGGCATTAGACAGGTTCCTTCAACATGTCTGTGCTTCAGTTTTCCTCTGTGTAAAAATACAGGTTGGTAACAATATTCACTTCAAAGAATGTGAACAGCTTCTTGTAATAGTGATTGATACATATTAAGTGTTCTTCGATAAAGGTAAGTTATTACTATAACTCCATTCAGTGACTCTTTCGGTCTCAACCTTCAAAATGAAACTGCTTGAGTGTTCCCTAACAATAGAAAATGAGATATGACAACTGTTTCAGATTATTCACCAGGTAAACATCTTCCTACAGGATTGCTGTTGTTTGCTATGTTGTGCTTTTTATTAAGGCTTAAGAGCACAGGAGACTTTTCTGCTGGTCCAGTTAGGACACTGTGTTTCCACAGAAGGAGGCATGGGTTCCACTCCTGGCTGGGGAACTAGGATCCTGAAGCCCTAACAATAGCAGCATTTCATGAATGACCATCTACTATCATCTACTATGTGTCTGGCTCTAGCTCAGCATTTTACACACATTACTTTCATTAGTTCTCCCAACCACCTTTTTAGGTGCTGTTATTGTCCTCATGCTAGGCTTCTGCTGATATTTAGGGTAAAAGGAAAACAAACTTTAAATATGTTAGTTTTGTTCTTGACTACTGACATTAAGTTATAAAAGCTGTAGATTCTTCTTTTTTCAATTTGGCCAAGTGGTAGGTTCTTATTTAATTAGAATTTTCTTGTTTGATACATGTTAGTTTTTTTTTAAGAACTATAAACAAAGCCAAGTAGATAAATAATAGCTGTTTTAAATGAAGTGTAAGTTATGTACGTGCTAAGAATTGTCAGGAATTTTTCATGATTTTCCAAATACTTACAAATTGGATCTTAAAATTCAAGCTTTCAAAACAACTTGAATTTAAGTAGAATATTTACTTTGTTCAAGTCTGTTTTTAAAGGAACTCAAGAAACTTATGAACTTTTACATTTTTTTCTATAAAATTTTAAACCTTATCCACACATTATATTGTATACTATTTCACCAGTGAAATACTAATCACAAATTCATATAAAACATCCTTTTAACCTTCACAGTTACCTGTTAAGAAGGTTCTCCACTTCTAGAACTTCTGCTATAGACGCTTCATTATCAGAAAGGAGACGAGCTTGAAATTTTCTGTCTTGGAAATCATATAGCATCACAATGATAAGACTGTTCAAATGATGTGGCTACCAAGGGGAAACACAGAGAAGGAATAGCATACAAATAATATCTAACAGCAATAGTTCCCATTCCATTATTTTTCAAGAGAGCAGGAGTATAAATATTTTCACATCATCTGATTAAACTGGGAGATAGAAAAGGACTGCAAACTAGAAAAAAAATTCAGTAAAAAATAAGACTTTCAAAAAGGACAATTTCTGACATGTTCATCAAAATGAAAGGAATAGGATCTATATTAGAAACTTAGAAGCAGGAAAGAGTTAAGGCTGTGTTTTGAAGATGTCTTAGCATTAAACAAACTAGTTATTTAAATCCCAAGGCTTATTTTTAGTACTTTCTAAATAACGCATGAGACAGCTAATTTTATAAAAGTTATACACTTACTATTGTGGTACTTGGGAAGATATAGCTGTCTATTAATATAGTTTCCAAAATATCTTGATCTGCAAAACAAAGAAAATGTCTGTTATGAAAATACCAAAGCTGAAAATGAAAACTCTGGAATCAAAACACACTTTAGCCAATACTGAAAAATACTTTTACTTTCATATCCAAAACAAACCTTAATTCTTGATAAAGACCCAAATTACAATGGCATAATGAAATATTTGTAATCTTTATGAATCCTAGACCCCTGTGACCCAGGCTCCACATGGTGGTGGTGGTGTTTATTGTTTACTTGCTAAGTTGTGTCCGACTCTTTGCAACCCCATAGACTCCTCAGTCCATGGGATTTCCCTGGGCAAGAATACTGGAGTGGGTTGGCATGCCCTCCTCCAGAGGATCTCTCAGATGAGGGATCGAACTGCTATCTCCTGCCTTGTTAAGCAGATTCGTTACCACTGAGCCACCAGGAAAGCCCAAGCTCCACATGGAGTCATAGTCCGAGGAGCATTATCTGATAACCGAGATAGTGATAAAGGAATTTCATCTCTAATTTACAGCCTTGAAAAACATTAAAGAGGATCTAATTAATAATGTCTTACCTTTTATGTACTGTTGAATTCAATTTGCTAACATTTTATTTAGGATTTTTGTTCTATGCTTATGTTCATGAAGGATATTGGCCTATAATTTTCTCTTCATAATATCTTTGTCAGTGTTGGTATCGGGGTTATGTTGGCCTTTATAAAATTTGTGGGAAATATCCCCTCTTCTTCTAGTCTGGAATAGTTTGCACTAAATTGGTGTTATTTCTTATTTAAATATTTGATAAAACTCACTAGTGAAGACACTGATAAGATGACACTTAATCTAAGACCCAAATGATAAGGAGTTACCCATGATCCAGGATGAGACAGCATTCTGGTCACAGGGATAATTACAAAGGTAATAAGTAAAAACATACAGACATATTTTGAAACCTCCACAGGGCACATGAGTGTTCCATTTGTTATAATGACAAGGATTAAATGGCAATTAGTACATACCTATCCACAATTACCTCAAATGTCAATGGACTAATGCTCCAATCAAAAGACACAGAGTGTCAGATTGAATGGAAAAACAAAACCAAACCAAGAACCTGCAATATACTGCCTACATGAGACTCACTTCAGGGTGAAAGACCTACACAGACCAAAAGGAAGGAGATAAAAAATAAACAGCTCAAGAAAATGGAAACAATAAGAAAGCAGGGGTAGGATAGCCATATTCACATCAGACAAAATAGATTTTAAAACAAAGCCCATAAAGAAAAGCAAAGAAGGGCATTATATAATGATAAAGGGATCAATGCAAGAAGATAACATGCTTGTTAACATAAATGCCTCCAATAGAGAAGCACCTAAATATATATTAAAAAGAAACACTAACAGACATAAAGGGAGAAACTAACAATAATACAATAATCATAGACCTTAACACTCCATGATGGTAATACAATAATAAAGAACCTTAACACCCCACTGACATCAATAGAGAGATTATTCATAGAAAAAACTCAATAAGGTAACAGAGGTTCTAAATGACACAATCATTTGAACTTAACTGATATCTACAAAACACTATATCCAAAAAAACCAGAAGACAGATTCTTTTCAAGGGCACATGGAACATCAGAATAGATCACATACTAAGTCATAAAACAAGACTCCACGAATTTAAAAGTGTAGAAACTATTTCAAGCAGCTTTTCTGACAAAAATTCTATGAAACCAGAAATCAATCACAGAAAGAAAAATTGGAAAAAAATGAACATATGGAAACTAAACAACATACTACTAAAAACCCAATGAGTTCAACAATGAAATCAAGACTTCCCTGATGGTCCAGTTGTTGAGAATCTGCTTCTAGTGCAGGGGGCGTGGGTTCAATCCTTGGTCAGGGAACTAAGATTCCAGATGCCATGGAGCAACTAAGGTTTTGAGCCGCAACTAGAGAGTCCGTGTGCCACACAAAAGACCCCCATGATTCAACGAAGATCCCGCACGCCGCAACAAAGACCCAACACAGCCAAATAAACAAAGCAAAATGTATTCAAATTGGAAGGGATGCAGTAGAACTGTCACTACTTGGATATAATATGATACTGTACATGGAGAACCCTAAAGTCTTCACACAAAAACTATTAGAATTAATAAATGAATTCAGCAAGGTAGCCAAATACATAAATCTATTTTTACACGATTGAAAGGGAAAGTTTTTTTTTTAAGTTATCTCATTTATTGCATTAAAAACAGCTAGGAATAAACTTAAACAAGGAGGTGAAAGACCTATACACTGAAAATTATAAACACTGATAAAGGAAATTGAAGGTAATTCAAAGAGATGGAATGATAGTCCATGCTCCTGGATTGGAAGAATTAGTATTGCTAAAGTAAGTGGTCAGTCTACCTAAAGCACTGCACAGATTTAATGCAATCCCTATCAAAATACCCATGACATTTTTTAAGAACTAGAACAAATAATCCTAAGATGTATATGGAACCAAAAAAGGCCCAGAACTGCCAAAGCAACCCTAAGAAAAAAAAACAAAGCTGAAGGTATAACCCTACCAGATTTCAGAATATACTACAAAACCACAGTAACCAAAGTAGCACAGTATTAGCACAAAAACAGACATAAAGATAAGTGGAATGGAACAGACAATCCAGAAATAAACCCACATACCTATGGTCAGCTCATCTAAGCTGACAAAGAAGGCAAGAATATACAATGGAGAAAAGACAGCCTCTTCAGCAAGCAATGTTAGAAAAACTGGACAGCTATTTCTATCAATAAAATTACAGCACTCCCTCACACCATCCATAAAAATAAATTCAAAATGGCCTAAAGACCTAAATACCACACATGACACCATAAAACTCCTAAAAGAGAACCAAGACAAAACATTTTTGGACATAAATAGTAGCAATATTTTCTTAGAACAATTTCCCCAGGCCAAAAAAAAAAAAAAAGAAACGAGACCTAATTGGTCAAAAGATTTGTACAGCAAAGGAAACCATTCACCAAACAAAAACACACCTATGGAATGGGAGAAAAGATTTGTAAAAAAAATGACCAGCAAGGGCTTCATATTCAAAATAAACAAAGAGTTCATAAAACAGGTAGCAAAAAAACAAACAATCCAATCAAAACAGGGCAGAAGACCCAAATAGACATTTCTCCAAAGAAGATACACAGATGGCCAACAGGAACGAAAAGATGCTCAACTTCACTAATCATTACAGAAATGCAAATCAAATCCACAATGAGATATCACCTCACATCAGTCAGAATGACTATCATCAAAAAGTCTACACATAACAAATGCTTGAGAGGGTGTGGAGAAAAGGGAACCCTTGTACACTATTGGTGGGAATGCAAATTGTTGTAGCCATTATGGAAAATCATATGGAGGCTCCTTAAAAAAAAGAAAATCTATATCATCAGTATCCTACTCCTGGGTATGTATCTAGAAAAGACAAAAACTCTAATTCAAGATGATAAATGCACTCCAGGGGCCTCTCTGGTGTCCAATGGCTAAGATTCTGTGCTCCCAATACCTGGGAGGGGCCTGGGTTTGAGCCCTGGTTGGGGAACTAGATCCCATATGTCACAACTAAGAAGAGTTCACATGCCACAACAAAGACCAAAGATCCCAAACGCCAAAACTAAGACCCAGTTCAATCAAACAAATAAATAAAAGTTTTTAACATTAAAAAAAAAATACACACACTCCAATGTTCATAGCAGCATTATTTACAACAGCCAAGACATGGAAAGAACCCAAGTGCCCATCAATAGATGACTGACTTAAGATGCAGACTATATATATATATATATATATATATATATATGTATATATACACACAACAGAATATTACTCAGTCATAAAAAAGAATGACTGTTACTGCCATTTGCAGCAACATGGATGGAACTATAGAACTATACTTAGTGACGTCAGATAGAGAAATACAAGTAAGCTATCACTTATATGTAGAATTTAAAAATAATGCAAATGAATCTATATATAAAACTGAAACAGAATCACAGACATAGACAACAAACTTATGATTACTAAAGGGGCAAGAGAGGAAAGGAGGGACAAATTAGGAATATGGGAGTAACAGGGATTAACTACTATAAGTAAAATAGATAAGTTACAAAATTTATTGTATAGCATAGGAAACTGTATTCAGTATCTTATAATAACCTCTAATGGAATATAATCTGAAAAAATAAGTAACTGAATAATTTAGCTGTAACCTGAAGCTAACAGGATATTGTATACCAAATATACTTCAGTTTTAAAAAGGAATAATTATATAGGCACATGGGGTTTTTGTATCTGTGGAAGGAGGGTAATTTGACAACCTTCATGTTGTCAAACATTGTTGCTAGGAGAATTAAGTACTGTCCCTAAGACTTCCTTGAGAAAGGACAATAGAAAGCTTGTACCTGATCTCTTCTGAACTTTGTCCTGTGTACATTTTCCCAGTGCTGACCTTAATCTTAATCCTTTCATTGTAATAAACTGTAACTATGAATATAATAGCTTTGCTGGGTTCTGTGAGTACTTCTAGTGAATCACTGAACCTGAGGGTGGTCTTAGGGATCCGTGACTACAATTAGTGATTCCCAAAGCCATAACTCAATCATACATTAAGTATTTGCCAGGTTTTTCACCGACAGGTTACATGATTCTGAAATGACCAGATTACTGACACAACCAATTCCTTGGACTGAGAGGTCACCAATTAGTATATACACCTGAAGAGGTTGGAGAAAGAATTAAGCCAGAAATAAGATCAACATTCAGAAAACTAAGATCATGGCATCTGGTCCCATCACTTCATGGCAAATAGGTGGGGAAACAGTGGAAATAGTAACAGACTTTATTTTGGGGGGCTCCAAAATCACTGCAGATGGTGACTGCAGCCATGAAATTAAGAGACGCTTACTCCTTGGAAGGAAAGTTATGACCAACCTGGGCAGCATATTAAAAAGCAGAGACATTACTTTGCCAACAAAGGTCCGTCTAGTCAAGGCTATGTTTTTTCCAGTGGTCATCTATGGATGTGAGAATTGGACTGTGAAGAAAGCTGAGCACCAAAGAATTGATGCTTTTGAACTGTGGTGTTTGAGAAGACTCTTGAGAGTCCCTTGGACTGTAAGGAGATCCAACCAGTCCCTCCTAAAGGAGATCAGTCCTGGGTGTTCATTGCAAGGACTAATGTTGAAGCTGAAACTCCAATACTTTGGCCACCTCATGTGAAGAGCTGACTCATTTGAAAAGACCCTGATGCTGGGAAAGATTGAGGGCAGGAGGAGAAGGGGACAACAGAGGATGAGATGGTTGGATGGCATCACCGACTCGATGGACATGAGTTTGGGTGAACTCCGGGAGTTGGTGATGGACAGTGAGGCCTGGCATGCTGCGATTCATGGCGTTGCAGAGAGTCAGACACGACTGAGCAACTGAACTGAACTGATGATCAACAATTTCAGGAATACCTTCTTCCTCAATTTTTTTTCTTAATGAGTTGTTCATTAATTTATTTTTTAAGAAATCATTTTGCCAGTTTTTCTTCTGTTTTAATATTTGGTAGTCCTTGAAACATCCAGAGATTCTTTGAAAAAATAAATTAGCTGCTAATACTCTACTTCTCTGACATAAGTCAAACTTAATAGGAATAGGTTACTCTTCATTACCACTCTTCATTACCTTCTTTAGTAGAAAACTGACCTTGTGTCTTATTTAGCAGAGTAAGAATAGTGGTTATCATTTCAAAAATCATTATTCTGAACCCTTTAAACAATTAATCAGAAAAACACACTCTCTGCTTTGAAAGAACTTACACACAAAGGACATCAATAAAAGGGCAAATAACAAAACTGGAAATCGTAAAAATTAAAAAAGATTATCATTACCCAAGCTCTCTTTAGTTTGTGCATTAACCATTTCAGCTTTACTGCTCCTATAAAACCTTAGAGAAGAAATCTTGAGTTTTCTTTCCTGAACCATGATTCCCTGAACCTATGCTATATAAGCCAGATGTTGAGTTTATAAAATACCACATGTGAAAATACTGAAAGAACACTGATAATACAAAAGACAAAAGTGAAATATATAAAAACCTCCAATATTTTAAAGCAAAATATCAGGCTCTTAATTACCTTGGAAATCTACTGCATTTAGGAATTCTAGCTTTATTCCATATGAACATTCAGAAATTATTCAGATGATAATTTAAAGCAAGGTATTATTATCATTAAACAACCAAAGCCATCTCATTTTAGAATTTGAACTTAGAAAAATGAACATGTCAAGGAAAAGTAGGTTTATAAAGGCCTATGATGAAGATGAAAGAGAGTGAAAAAGCTGGCTTAAAAATCAACATTTAAAAAACCAAAATCATGGCATCCGGTCCCATCACTTCATGGTGAACAGATGGGGAAACAATGAGACAGTACAGGCTTTTTCTTGCACTCAAAAATAACTGCAGATGGTGACTGCAGCCATGAAATTAAAAGATGCTTGCTCCTTGGAAGAAAAGCTATGACCAACCTAGACAGCATATTAAAAAGCAGAGACATTACTTTGCCAACAAAGGTCCATCTAGTCAAAGCTATGGTTTTTCCAATAGTCATGTATGGACGTGAGAGTTGGACTATAAAGAAAGCTGAGTGCCAAAGAATTGATGGTTTTGAACTGTGGTATTGGAAAAGACTCTTGAGAGCCCCTTGGACTGCAAGATCAAACCAGTCAGTCCTAAAAGAAATCAGTCCTGAATACTCACTGGAAGGACTGATGCTAAAGCTAAAGCTCCGATATTTTGGCCACCTGATGTAAAGAGCCGACTCATTGGAAAAGACTCTGATGCTGGGAAAGACTGCAGCCAGGAGGAGAAGGGGATGACAGAGGTCGAGGTGGTTGGACGGCATCACCGACTCAATGGACATGAGTTTGAGCAGACTCCGGGAGATAGTGAAGGAAAGGGAAGCCTGGCACACTGCAATCCATGGGGCCGCAAAGAGTCGGACACAACTGAGTGACTGAACAACAAATAACAATAATTTATCTAACTGGGATCTGCGTTATTAAAACATGTCAGTCACAAGACACTTTCATAAAACAGAAATAAAGACTGAGAGAAAGAAAACGGTAATCTACCATACACATTACTACAACATGACCACCTAATCAATGGATTAATTTTATAAAGAATAATCTCAGTAATAAATAATCTCAGTAATAATTTTATTCCCACCTGAAAAATCCCTTGGACAGAGGAGCCTGGTGGGCTACAGTCCACAGGGTCACAAAGAGTTGGACATGACTGAGCAATTAAGCACACAGCACACACAAAAGTAAGATTCAGTACTCTTATCAGGAAAAAATTGTCTATAATAGAGTTTCGGCGTTAACATTAAACATCCATTAATTGACACAGATGCCTAGTGTGCATCTCACTGTTGCAAGGAGAAAATCTTCAAATGTTAATTTGACTGGTGATTTAAAGTACAACACTCTGGTTGGTCTTTAAGTTTTAAAACAGAAGAGGAGGGAAGGGATGAAATAGAATCTGAAAGTTTAAACTGGAGGAGGGGAAAATGGCTAAGACAGATTTTTTAAGAAAAATATCACAAGCCGAAACTAAAGAAATGAAACTCAGAGAGAAGCTGCCTCTGAACATCACACAAATTTTTCTCTGTGATGACAAATTGCTGGCTTCAGAGATGAGCTATATCATGTCTGTAGACAACCAAAAACACACATTTATAGCTGAGTAATTAATGGGACATTTTAATGCAACTGAACAATTGTTAACCAACTCTGAGCAAGGATGTCCAAGGCCCAATAAGTACTAACAGTAAGTAAATGATGCATGCAATGCCCTTTCTAGGTGTCTCTTTAGGAAGTTTTATCATTTTAGCTATGCTGCTAATACTCCAAACATTTCTGGAACTTCTTTTCAGTCAGTATACAAATCAACACAAACTTTAGTTCATACTGTATTACAGTTGATAGCTAGTACTAAAACCTGTCTCCAGGCCCTTTGACTGCTCTCATAGTAAAAATATTTGGTTCTGTACTGGAATCAACTCCATACTCAAAAGTTGATAATTACCCACCATCGAAGAAATCTGAAATATTACACCTCAAATCCTGGAGGCAAATTAAAAGGGATTTCGACAAAAATTTGGAAGAATAAATTTACACGCTTTTAAAACTAAACAAAGCAAATGACAGTGAAAACGATCATCTTAATTTTGACCCACCTAAGCACAGGGAAATCTACAGTGGAAAACACATCTGACTGAAAGAGATTGTTTTGGAAACTCTCCTTAAAGGCTTGACATCTGCAACGGACCAAAGATATTCAGAAGTCTAAAAGCAAAACCTGGTGTATGTGTGTGAGGGTGCGAGGAGGAGGTTCGATGCACCTCACAAATTCTCTCATTATTCTCTTTTAGGGCTGCCAAAACCGGTACTACTCACACTTAAGTGCACTGAAAGCCAACTCATAGGACAAACGCTGAAAGGATTCATCCTCGGGTTCGGTTGAGGACGGCAAGGGCTCATTCCCATACTTTATTAAGGCTTTCTCTGGTGACTTTTCGAGTCTAGTGCCCTGAAAAATATTCGCTGCCAGGATGTAAACGGAGTCCGGATAGCCAGTTTTTTCGGGTGAACCAGCTGAGCTGCTGTCGCTGCATGCTGGGTCCCCTGCCAGTGCCAGTGAAGAGAGCTGGGAGATCTCCGCAGTCGTTTCTTCCAAAACTTCCAGTTCATTTGCGGAGTTAAACATGTTTGCCCCCCTGACTGTCCCAGGTAACTCAAGCCTGAATTACAGTTCAGATGTTCCGGGAAAGGGTTTTCCCTGTTCAAGCATCGTCTCTGTGAAAACAAAAGATTATCCCGCTTAAACCACTATTTCCGCAAGACCACACTTGGTGACCCACCTCGTGTGGCCCTAGAGACTAAGCGGCGGCATTCCCTGGCCGCCCCGAGCATCCCTTACTTCGAGCCGGGCAACCTCCACACACTCACAAAGGGAGAGGGGTGGAGACGGCTCCGAATGGCCTCCGAAGCGACGAGACCTTAACCGAGGCCCGTTTGGGTGCAGCGCTCCCCCAAGAGCCGCACCTGCGGCCCCTCGGGCGCTGCTTTCACTGGCTCCCGCGAGTCCTCCCTTACCCCAGAGGGCGGATGTTCCCCGGGGCTTTGGGAACAGAGACGCGGCAGCCGCGGCAGCACTTCGGGCACCGGTGGCTGGTATCTCACCCAGCGCCCTCGGCGGCCCCGGGACTACTGGGCTGCCACGGAGGTCGCGCAGGCAGTTTGGTTCAAATGAGCTTCTCCCACCCGCCGGGGTCGGGGCAGGGGGGTCGCGACCCCCGGCTCTCGCTTCGCTCGGGTTCCTGAGGGAGGATGCGCCTCAGGGCTTCGCCCGCCCGTGCGGTCGTCTCCACGAAGGCGGCAGCTGAGCCGGGTGGATCACGAGGCTGGTGGGCCCGCCGGCTCCGGCCGCGGAAAGGTAGGCCTCCCCCGTCTGCCGCAGTCAGCCGGCCCGGGACCCGGGTCTCCGTGGCAACCAAGGGCGCGGCGCGGGGAGGAACGCTGCCCGAGGGCAGTTCCCGCGGGATTTGGCGGCGCTTCCTTTCTTTCCGGAGTTGCTCCTGCTCGCTCACCCCGGACACCTGTGCCTCCCTTCCTCAGGTGGGAGGGCCCTGCATGATTGGGCTGCTTGGAGATCCTCGACTTCCCCAGAATCAATCACAAGGGACCCTTCCTCTCCAACTTGTCCCCTGTGATCTCCTTGAAAGCAAGAATTTTGTGTTGCTGACAGCACCCAGTTTAGCGGGTTAGCGGGCACGCAGGAAATGTTAAAACGGCTCAGTGTAGAACTATTGAAGAAAAAAAAAAGGTAAAAAAACTGACGAATCGACTGTGTTTCCACGCTTTTTAGAACAGTAGATACCACAGATATCACGTTAGATGGCCCCTTCTAGGACTGACTGTGCTCGCTTAGCCGTGGTGGACTCTTTGTGGCCCCATGGACTGTGGCCCTCCAGGCTCCTCTGTCCGTGGAATTTTCCAGGCTAAAATACTGTACCGGAGTGAGCTGCCATTTCCTTCTCCAGGGGGGTCTTCCCAATCCAGGGATGGAACCCCCACCCCGTCTTCTGTTTTCCTAAATTGCAAGCAGATTCTTTACCCGCCGAGCCACGGGTGAAGCCTTCCAGGGCAAGTTGTGTAAAGACCTGTGCCAGCCTCCTTCCCAGGAGTTGCCTGCAAAGAAAGATGTTGCCGAAATGGGCCTACAAACAACAAATTCACACCCCTGAAAGTATTGAATGGAGCTGGGGATATGTATAAAGTTCCCCCAAAGGGTTTTAATATGGCTACTTTAATTTTTGAGTGTCCTGGAGAGAAGTCTGCATCCTAACTCACCAAGGAAAAACTAGCTGTGCTCAGTCTTAAAGGTAGTGGAAAAATACTTTAATTTATAGAATAAAAACCAAATGACTGAGGTTTAAATTTATGTGCATCTTAAGCTTTTCATTGATTGCCTGTTAACCTATCTCCAAAGTGCCTGTTCTAAAACTGGAGAAAAAGAAGAGATTGCTTTTTTCCTCCACTCTATACCATTTGTGTTGCTGCTTTGAAACTTCTCCAACAGACTTCAATAGGTCTAATAGTCTAATGACTTAAATGCCAGTCCTAATAGCTACAGCTTTTCTGTATGCTCTCAAATTTTTCTTACGGTAAGATTCAATGAACAAATGCAAATATGAATATATAAAGATCATGTGATGAAAAGTAACATGTATGTACTTCACATTTCTTGCCTGGTTTAGAAAAGTCCTAGGTTTTAAAACAGAAATGGGTGTTGGATTGTGCAACTTGACAAATTATGTTTCAAGTTTTAAGTGAAAAAAATCATGAAATCATGTTTAAAATAAGATTTTATTTTATTGAAAATAAAATAGATGCTAATATCTACTTAAAAGAAAGAAAAATCTGCTAGATACTTGGTCTCCATTTTCTATATGAAGCAAAAACCAAAGCCTGCAAGTTGAATGAAGTTCTTCATTTTGGACTGAGATCAAAGTCACAGGAAAATCTTGCAAGTGCAAGCCCCAAATTCAGCAAGAAGTATGATAAATATGCTCGAGTAAATACCTTATTTGCTGCTGGTTGAGAATCTCAAATTTGGTTTGTCTTCTTTGTAGAAGTGGTCCAATCTGGAAAAGAAGCATAATTTATGTAACTAAGATCAGTATGGTCACTCAAGAGATTCTAAATTGTGTTCGCTGGTTCTTTCTCCATCTGTTAAACAGGAAGGGCTAGACTTTGGCATTTGGTAAGTTTATTATCTGTGTAACCTTAGGCAAGTCCTTACATCCCTAAGCTTCAGTTTCTGGACCTATAAGGCGGACTGTATAATAATGCTGCCTTTGAGGAGGTTTGTGAGTATTTAGTGGAATGATGTATGTCAAGATTGTCTGGAAAGTAGTAGCTCAATAGTTAGTTCCTCCTTTCCCCCTCTATTGTTAAGAAGGGGAGAATGGATATTGGGGAACTATTAGTAGCAATTTTCTACAAATCTGTTTGCCCTGACCCCATCACCCACCAGTTCACTCACTCCCATTAATCTCAATGTGTAGTCTCCCCTACTTTATGTTCCCATAATATTTTTTGCATGCATATATGCTTTCATTCATTTATCAGATGTATACTAAATTCTTATCATGTGCCTCACATTTTCCTCAGTCTTGAAGTTTAAGAAAAAAAATTTATAGAATGATCGGGGACCTTACCCTCAGGAAATTAATGGATAAGTATACTTGTATTTTGAAACACTTTATTTTTTATTGTATATATTTATGTGTATCTCTGGTTCTCCCCACTTCTGCCATCCTTACTTGCACAACCCAAACAATACACACACTCTAAAAAGTTCTATTGTGTCTTTTAAGTTTTGTTATATCTTTTTATTCCCAGAAAGAGCAAAATATCACTCTTTCACATGCACAGATTACAAATATGAAGGTGTCTTTAGGGGTCATGGTATATTTTATTATGCATCACACAGTACACAGTATGATCTGTGGAAAATGTGAGATAAAAATCTATCTATAAACTTTAAAATACTATTGTCTTTCAAAATATAGTTTGAGTAGCTCTTGTTTGGTTTTTTGTTTGTTTGTTTTAATGATATATCAATGTGACAACTCACTGTTGAAAACGAGATTTAAGGAGAGTCTTTATCCCCAAAGTAAAGCTTAGGCCAGCAGTTGTGGGTTAGTGAATTCGTGGTTACTATTTACTCTAATCCTGCCTCCTTACCTTTCAGTCCTGGTTTATGGGCTCATTGCGGACATAAAGTATTGGAGGGAAGGACTAGAGGGAAGCATATCAAATCTCAGTGAGCACTCTACAAAAGTAACCAGAGCGATAGGTATGTGGATTCAGCTGTTGTGAAACCGAGTATGAAAAAATCCAGCCTTTGTTTAAATTGCACTCTGTAATATGATCAGAACATTAAGTCAGAGATGATGTAGAAAATTAAAGGTTAGTTACCTGGAGCTTTCTGCAAAAGGAACTTAAAGGAGTGATTTTCTTTCCCCAGGGGGTAGAGTATTTTTAAATATTTGTAAATTAACATTCCTTGTATTTGAATCAGAGCAGCTTCTGTATGTTAGTCAAGTAGGTATTCAAAAAACATTTGCTCAATGTCTGCATCTCCTTTGCTGCCCTGCAAATAGGTTCATCTGTACGATCTTTCTAGATTCCATATATATGCGTTAATATACGATAATATACCCATGGTTGAGTCATGTCGATGTATGGCAGAAATCAACACAATATTGTAAAGCAATTATCCTTTCGTTAAAATAAATAAATTAAAAACAAACAAACAAACACATTTGCTCACTTGCTTCAGTTTGATCTGGGCATAAAAAGTTGTGCTCAGTTCCACTGCAACTTGTTATAGAAATGTAAAAAGTGTATGAAACAAAGAATTTTAACTTATGTTCTTAAACATCACAACACAATTTATCATTATGGCTACTGAGAAATAGTACTACTGATTTTTTTTTTTTGGTACAAAAATTCTTTCCCTTACTCTTTTTTATTTGACACAGCTATCTAGTGTTCCAGCCTGGACCTAAGCTTTTCCCAACTCTGAACTTTAGAGCTGATAGATGCTGAAATAGCCCATTCCACAGGAGGAATAGATAACCCAAGAAGGCAGGAAACTCACTCTGAGGTAAAGAGCATCAATCCTCTGATGCTGTGTGAGTGTCGATGTGAAGGAATATTTTGCATTATTCAAGTGTTTCCTTTCCTAGTCGTTATGGAAACTTGTCCCAAGCAACTTGAAAAGGAAATGCAAAGATCCCGCTGGGAAAAATCAAAATATGATCGTGGGTTCTTTACCATGAGACAGTCAAAGATTAACCAGAAGAGCCATAACCGTTTGCAGAGGGATGGGGAAATCTTCCTTAATTTGGAAGCAGCAGAAAACTGAGATGGAGCAAAGAGTATTGAAGGGTAGGCAAGTGAAAAAGAACAAAAGTCCAATTGAGCAAAAGTGCCATTAGGAATAACTTTGAGATTTAGAAGCCAAAAATGACAACAGCAACTAAGGAGGAGTTTGTTACCTAAGACGCAGGAGGGAAAGAGGATTCGGGAGACTTGTAACCCTAGCCCTTGATTGTTCTTGTGGCCCAAGAAAAACAAGGGTTACAACAGACAACCGTTGTAATAAATTTCGGGCATACAGTAGTTTCCCAGAATTAGTCATTCAAACACCACATTCATGAATTATTTTTACATATTCATATACTACCATTTATATTACTTACCCAGTATTTTATTTTAACTCAGAATCATGGTTTTTCTTAAATAGAAAACTTGTGCATGGAAAATCAGTCATTTGCCATAAATGAAAATAACCACAACAAAAGCAAAATAACACGATTAAATTCTAGTTAGAAATGGTTGTACCAAAGCTCCAGGCTTGAGATTGACTGTTCTTGGTTAAAAAGGAAAATGGGTGGGCTTCTAGGTGACTCAGTGGTAAAGAATCTTCCTGCCAGTGCAGGAGACAGGGGTTCAATCTGTGATCCAGGAGGATCCCACATGCCACAGAGCAACTGAGCCTGTGTGCCTTAATAGCAGAAAAGAAGAAAGAGAAGAAAAAGGGAGATGGGCAATGTTAGCAGGGTGTTAAACACTAGTATAAATGACACTTTTCTCCTCGACAGAGGGAATAAAAGAGAACTGGATAAAACAACTTTCTCACTGTGTGTGTGTTTTTCAACACTAGATTGGCATATCCCTTCAAATCATTTCTCGTACTTTTGATGGTACTGGCCCCATACTTGGGGAAATACCGTACTAAGAGATTTGAGTTCAAGAATTAGAGGAACAGTGCTGTCTCTGAAATAAGAGGAAGAAAATGCAAGTAATTCGAAATTGATCAAAAAAGAATTAGAAGGATCTAATGGCACAGCGTTCTTGCCTGGAGAATCCCAGGGACGGGGGAGCCTGGTGGGCTGCCGTCTATAGGGTCGCGCAGAGTCGGACACGTCTAAAGTGACTTAGCAGCAGCAGCAATGGCACAGTGGTAGTGGGACTTTGAAACCAGAGTCAGAAGACCTGATTTTAGTCTTAATGTGTGTGTGTGTTCAGTCACTCAGTCGTGTCCAACTCTTTACAACCCCATGGACTGTAGCCCTCCAGGCTCCTCTGTCCATGGGATTTTCCAGGCAAAAATTCTGGAGTGAGTTGCCATTTAGTTGTGTAATCCTAGGCAAATCTCTTCATTCTTTCTATTTGTTCTTTGACATGTTCAA